CATTCCTTTATTTACAGCATGTCATTGCTCAAAATCTGTTCAAAACTCGTTTCAGAAACCAAACATCAAAATAAATTACACTCCCGCTACACCACACGAGTCTTGCGTATTACTTTTTATAATATATACGCAAACTTTGACGGCGGAGGGAAGCGTTTGAAGCCCGCAGACATGGTTCCTCCATTAGCAGACAAACTGCTGCTAACTCGATACAGCCGCGTAATTACTTCGTCTAGGAGACCGTATACAACCTTAACTGTAACATTTATTGCTGAACTGTAACATACTTGAACGCATACTTCATTTATAATAACTTAGTTAAAAGCTTACTAACAGTATAGTAGACACCATAAATATTAAGCTTTTTGGACAAAAAGATCGTAAGTAATAAATACATAATGAAAGACAGGATGTGAGTGTATTTCATAAACCTGAAATAATGTAACAATTCACGTCGATGTATATTTTAATTTACTTCAGTAGAACTACCTACTCGATCAATTCGTAGAACAGCGCAGCATCACCAAAGAAAATCATCCAAGAACAAGAATTAAAATTAAAGAAAAACTCTGCCATCTGCTTAAAATTATGGCACAAAATCCAATCTCTTACGGGTGAGTTGATTAGTTACGAGTGAGCAACAAAAGACGTGTTGCTTGCTACAGCGCTCCAATTGACCTAAAAACTGCAGCCTCGACCTCGTGCGACAATGTCGTATACGATAAACAGATATTGAAGATCGCAGCGCACATTTTTAACGCTTAAAACAATGTTAGCCTGCGAACTATTGGAAAGCATTTTAGCTTTTAGTTTTGCGCATGAGTTTATCTATATTTTAGAGTAGAGCAGAGGATGCTAAAATATTAACGAACCTTTTCATTTTCATAAATTTTAATATGCTAATTGAGATGAATTGCGTAAGAACCAGAATCATGACGTGTTCTAACGATTCTAATCTCTTTACATCATAGTAGATTTATGATATTTTGTCTTTATTTGATAAGGTGAACGGCAACGAAGTAACTGCGGTCGCGGGTCTATATTCCAATGGGGACAAACGTTTGTGTAATCACCATGACTAATTACAATCTTTATTTTTAGAACTTTTCAGTATTTTCTATACTTATGTTTATCCGTTTCCTAATCATGATACTGTATTATGTAGTTTGAGTCCAGTAATTGGAATCGACAATTGTAAATACCTACCATGATTAATGATTACATTATCATCGCAAGAAACTAAACTAGTCAGTACAAATGCGCATGAAGCAAAAACAATAGATTTAAATTCTCTTTTTCCAAGTAAAACAAAAGCAAAATAAGTAAACATTTCACAGTCGAGTTGTGCAAAGATTCATAGTGCTTTGGTTTCTTTTGCCTGGAATAAGCCGAGCTCACCGCGAGCTAATTCAATGGAGCGGCACCTAATTAACGTCCTGAAAACTGCTGCCTTCCTGGTTTTAATCCTGTGTGGCCAAGTATACAGAGTGATTACTTTTTTATTATAAGATTTAGGGTTCTTTTCCACGACGAGTTCTCGTTTTTTGCAGGATCCATTTTATTCCCACGTTTTATACTTAGCATTAAAAACCTATCAATACTAATTCCGATTTCGGTTTTGTCATTATAAAATTGACCTGGAAAAAACGGGATAAGTGCGAACGCACATTTTCCGTGGAAAAGGACTTTTTATTTTGTGACTCGTAAACAAATTCATATTTTTTTATTTAATACAACTAAAAGTTTATTTGTCGATGGAAAATTTCATGATTTATCATTTCCCCAGAAAGACATTTCTGTAATATGATGGTAGAAAAAACACAGTTAATATCTCTATTTATAAGATTTTTTCCCGAAGTATCACAACAAGGCACTTCGTGGAATCTTTACACGAGCTGGTAAAGAAAAAATTATAAGTTTCCCGCACAAAATTTCAATCCCGCACAATTTTTGTGTGACGAAATATTAGTAGACGTAAGTAATTCTTTCAAGTCCATTCTATTTAGAAGAATTTTGCGTTTAAAAGATAACATCACAAACTATTTTCATTGAATTTCATTAAAATTGGTTAAAGGTGACGTACCTACACCTGAAAATGTGATGTTCATATTAAAAGCACTTCAAGTATTCAACTAAACAGGACACCGCACAAAACAGTTCTTGCCAAAAACGAGATGTATCCGTGGGAACAAGCCCTTACATACCTTTTCAAGCATTCTATGTTTCCGTTTAAAATCTCTAAATATAAAAGGAGAAACTGACTGACTGACTGACTGACTGACAGATCAACGCACAGCCTAAACGGCTAAACGTAGGCACTTGAAATTTGGTAGGGACGTGGCTTAGGTACCGTAGAGGTGCACTAAGAACGGAATTTCCGAAATTCCCACGGGAACGGGAATTAGCGGGAAAAACGGGATTCACGCGTACGAAGTCGCGGGCGGCCGCTAGTTCAACATAAAAAGCAAAAGCCGTGAATGCTAACCGAGTTATGTCTTAATTGCCAGCGCCATTTATCCATTCTCTCTCCAGCCAGCAAGCAGCGGTGCTAACTCAATGGCGGTTCAATTAATTAGACCTGCTTCTTTGGCGTTCAAGCGCTTACGCTAGTGTCTGCCTTAATGCCTACCCTAAGGACAAAGCTCGAAAGCTTTTGAGAAAGTTCACACAAAAGAGTGGATCTAGAAAGTTATTCAAGTATTGCATTCTGTTCGTTTGATACAAAGTTATTATTGAATACAAAACTGAAATTGAATTTTATTTTACGAGTATCTTGTGAATAGACAAGCATCTTCGAAAGAACCCAATTTATTTCTTTATTCTTGTACTCTTTCGTATAAGTACATAGAATAAGATCCATTTTCTACCTCTAAGGCTTTACCAGAGGTTTCCACAACGGTCTGATACTTGACCCGGTCACGCGCTAACAGATTTGTTAATTTCCTGAAGTCCCTCCCTTATTTAGTTTATAATTACGAACCGCCTAATTTCCCCCAAGTGAGCCATTCAACATGGAACTGCTAAATAAATAACTCTACGAAATGAATTTGTTCATAGCATCGGCCTATTTGCCAGTTTCCGCCAATTTGCATTTAGTTTCATGAGTTCCGCATGTTAGGGCCCACATTTAGTATGCCCTTCGCATTTATGTTACATATTAGGGAAATGGCAGTAATAGTAAGGACGGTCTGTTCGTTTCCGTGTCCTATCTAACAATAAAGTACCTAATAACATTTTATTTCAAGACTGGAACCTTAAGCAATAAAATAAAACTCGAAAGCTTTTGAGAAAGTTCACAGCAATTTGTGGATTTAGAAATTTTTTAGCAATTTTGTCAATTAGAAGGTATGGAAAAAATGTAGAAAGCATCTTTATGACGTGTGCCTTACATTATGGTACTCGTACATGGTAAGGTGAAACCAGTACCTCTAGTAGGAAAAACTTTCGAGTTCGTTTCGTTGCGTATTCAAAGTGTCATCGAAAAATTTTGTATGAAAAATTAAACAGCGCCCCCTAGGGCGGCTATAATATAGGGGGCGCTGTTTAATTTTTCATACAAAATTTTTCGATGACACTTTGAATACGCAACGAAACGAACTCGAAAGTTTTTCCTACTAGAGGTACAGTATCATGTATTGGCGGAGAAACCGTTGGTCAAATCCTGTTCTTGTTCTTTAGTACCTACTACATTCATACATACCTATTCGTATTATGTATTAGAGGAAAGTGCATGGGTCTTACTTAATCATAAAATATTAACTTTTCGTGAATAGTGTTCGTGTAACCGCCCCCAAGAAACAATAGGACCCGAACAATCATAATCTACATACAATCAGAGTTTACGTGACACTAAAATTAATTACTACGCCTAACAACAAATGGCTTAAAGTTAATCCCATTAATTACTTTGTTTCCTGTTTTGCTTAACTTTAATCTGGACTCTGGAGTTCGTAAAGCCGTTTTAATACTCATTGCTAAACAATCGGAATTATAAATGACTGGATTTTGTTATTTATTTGAGCTTTGGAAGTAACCACGCGTTAGACTTTTAGATTTGCTCTGTAGTGAGATACTTTTGAAGTATTACTGAGGAATCCTTTCTCATTTCAACCAAGTTTTAAGACGTAGTTATAATACCGACTCTACAAAACTTTCTTTAATTTTTAATACGAGTAACAACAACTAGGTAATGACGCACGTAGTCTTTGAAATGGTTTCAAAAATAAGTACCTATTCTGTATTCTATTGTGTCTTGTAGGTACCTACCTATGTAGGTACGTGTGAATTTATTGCACCCACGACGTCGTGATTTTCCAAGTTGATTATAAAACTGTATCGTCAATGCCCTGTTATTGTCATGCAACCCGATACGGTAGCTAGCAACAAATAAACCGAATTAATTGGAAACCCGATCCCTCTCCGTCCCCGCTCTATTCGATTCAATTAAATAGTTGCCGAGGAATATTGGTGGAAAATCTATTATGGATCCGATTTTGTAAATTTGTTTTGTGGAAACCACTGGCGATACTGTGAGCAAAAGTGTCTTTAATAATATTACGTAATAGGAACCGATTAAATAACGATTACTTAGTTGTTTTCCAACTCGTAATGTGTAAATGATTAACGTAAAACCGCGACACAAGACCGTATTCATCCAAAAAGTTCACTTCCTGATCGTAGCGTAGAAGTTTACTTTATCAAATTTAAAATTGGTTATTATTTTACTAATTTCTTACATAATAACGAAAAATATTGGAGCCTGGATTTTCATGAGTTCAAACAATATTTACCCTAAATCGTTTCCGTAATTCGTGTACTTAGCACGACGAGAACACGTTTAAACATTCCGTACAAAATAAAAGCTTTTTAAAAACAAAACAGCCGATGCAAATTAAATCGGAAAACAAACAGATGCCGTTATGGAACAATGAAACGATATTTGCAAAGCTCGAGTGCGAAACGGAATTATTTGACCTACATATTCATGGTTATTGTTACAGAGGCGGCCGGGGACTCCGAGTATTCCGTGTACGTCGGCCGGTGGACCGAGTGCGGCCCCTCGGCCAGCGACCACGTCAGAGCCGTGGAAAGGTAATGCTTCTAATAAAAACTCATGAATAATTAAAAATGTAATATCTTTTTACGTCCGCCGCGGACTGAAATTTATCGCGAATGCAATTAAAATTCATATTGGTGCTGTTATTTTATTCATTAAGTTTGGTGTGCTCTGAACGGAATCCCAATTAGTTGTGAATTTTCAGCTGTTTTAAAGTAAAATCCAGTCGTTAAGTTTAATAAATTGTATAACATATTTTATACCAAAAACGTTTTCTATTAGTTTTAAAAGGCTTTCGTCTTAAATTCAAATGTACCTAGCATTTATAAAAATCCTATGACTGAATCTTAACCTTTTCAGCCATTTCAAAAGACTGTCGCAAATGCAATATACAAGTCTGTTTCTAGTAAATGTCAATTTCGAGCTCTATAAAAGGACTCACATTGGATTCTACTTTCTATCAATATATCAAAAGGTCTGGCTCTGAAATATCAACAAACGAGTAGAATTGGCGTCTGAAAATGGCGTGCCTGTTAAGTTTCATATCTCGAAGGCTACAAAGACGTACAAGACTTGCTATTTTTATTCGAGAAATGGGTACATTTCCTCGCATTTCTATCGCTTGACAGACCGACGTAGATGTTCGGCCCGACATTTATTACATCGCTTTCATAAGTTTGACAACAATTGTTTACAATAATAGCATGTTATTTGTGACATTACAGTATTTTTCTAAAATTTAATAACATTTCAGTACTGAATTAAATAAAATCTAATTACAAATAAGTAATCAAGAGAGCTTAGTACAGCACTACTGTCCGTCCACGTTTATAGATAAGAGCGAGCAATAAAAGTCGCTAAGAAATAAAACGAATTCCTTTGAAACGAGATTGGAATTTTAAACAGTTTTCCTTTTATATTCTAGAGAAAGACCGTTACAATTATTTTACAATCAATTTATTGCTTTACTTCCTTTTGCATAGCGTTGTTAACGATACCTACTGAAAGTGAATATTCTTTAGGACTTTTCACATAAGTACATTGGCACATATGAATAAGGATCATGAGTATGTATTTGAATCTGGCGTAAAGCCTGAAGTAGGTACTTACCTATTTAAAGTACTTACCTATGCATGTAAGTTGTAGCTACATAATTTACGTAGCTCTACTCTTAAGTCTAGGTAATCAGATGATAGTTTTCTAAAATGGAATTATTCCAAAATAGAGTTTTAAATAACATTTTCTTTTCAGATACAATCTCAGACCAGAGTCGGACTCGCTAGTGCACACGCCCCGGCTTGGGCTGCAAAGGCGACATGTGCAGTGCCGCCATAAGGATGGGCGATTCGTCGAGAGCATGTAAGATACGAAATAATTTCAGTTTTTGGCTCATTAACACAAAAAATTGGAGAAAGGAAAAAAAAAACAAAAAAAAATACTTTTTCGAGGTACGCAATAAGGCTTAACAACTTTTAAACGACTGTAATTAATCTTTTACGCCGTTAGCAGACTGTTTTCAGTGCAGCAATGTTTCATGACGAACTCAAAGGCTTATTAAAATGTGAAAAAGACAATAGAAGATTGAAATGCATTGGCTTAAGTCCAATAATATGCTTTACACAACAGCCGCCGTCTTTTTCATTAAAGAGAAAATATATTTAAAGGCCGACGTTCTTCGTATCACAATGTATTCAGAGTAAATTAGTTCTCCAGGGACGAATTTCGTAAACGCTCTTAATTAAGCCGTAAAGGCGAACGGTCCGTGATTAAGCTGATGTATGATGCAAATGTGTCGAGAATTCACAGTTGACGATACACACACACGGGTACAAAAATACTGACTCAGCAGTATTCAGTTAATTTAATATTCACTCCGATGTTCGCGGTCACACGTAAAAATAAAGTTTTTAAGCCAACTGAGAATTAATTAATATAATTTTGCAGTAATGGCAAATGTGGATTAAATTATAAGGCCTTGAATTTCAAGGTATTCTTAAATAATGTACTCCTATGTGTACCTAGTCATCACATCTACTAGAGACTCCAAAATCATTTACCTACAATAGTGTAAATTAATAGGTAGGCCTACCTAGTAATGTTTCAACATCAAAGTAAATCATTCACTCGTAACAACTAACTTGTTGTAATGTTTGAATACAAATTATTCGAGGAAACGACGATTTTGATTGGTTTCGTTCCCAAGTTTTGACTGGCGATTGTAAACAAGAAGTTTGTGTAAACGAGCGGTGTTTACGATAACTTTACAGCGAGATAGGTTAACTTCATAAACAGGTGCTCAGATAGCTTTTAGCCAGAACCTCTCAGCGTGAATTGTAAATATTATAACAATAAACAGCTCACGAAAGTCTATGTTTTCTTCCAGTCTTCTTTTCATCCCGCAGCTCTTGTACAGCTGGCATTTAAGTAGGTACATATTATAGCTCTACCTACCTTTTTCAGTAAAAAGGCGGTATTTCCTTACGCAACTTAAGGCTGATCTTTCTGTATTCTCATATTGATGAATGAAATCTATCTCTATGTTTGTGTAGTACCTAATTTAATAAAACTCTTTTTGAAACTGGCTAGAGAGGAAACTTCGTTATTTTTTTTCTTTTCTTACGCATTTTTTGTTAATATTATTTTAATACTGGCAAGAGACAAAGCGAAACAAAACCTACGATTGTCATTTGGTTGGTTTTTGTTCTTTTTCTTTTTTCATCTGTTTAGTTGTAGTTTTACAATTATTTTTTTTTTGTTAAACTGAACAAATAAAATCTAGAAAGAGTCGCTTCCAATTCGAATCCCATTTGTAAAAACATTTCCCATTTGTTGTGTACATTCAATAAGTAGAAAATCAAAACGCAAGTATAAAGATATTTTACTATTCCATTTTGCTGTGTAGCGGGTCACTTGATTTCCAATTATTGAATATTGTGAGCCTATCACGCATGCATGTTTGTTCACGGCGGACCGCTGGATGCACTAATTCAACTGTAATCCCGTAATTAGCTGTGTGTTTAGTGCGAGCACATAAATAAATACCTGTGCTCATTAAGCTCTTCTAGTGACGCAGTGCAGTGATATGTGATCGAAAATTTTAAATAGGTTTTACGTCATATATCGATTTCAATAAATTGAATACTGGATTGCTATTCTCTAGAAGTCTAATGCCCGTTTTGCATATGGGTCACTTAAAAATTAGGGATTGATGGTGAAAACGGGCATAAGACTAATTATTGTAAAACTCAGATTGTAGTGAAAAATCTAAGATTAGTGCTGATTAGTAAATAATAAAGCATTAACTTCAACTATCTTAGAATAGACATAAAACTACTATGTAACTATCTATCCTTTTTTAGTCCAATGAATCCTATCACTGTACCTACGAGTAAAAAATTCAAAGGATTTCACTCCTCTGGCACGCGTAATTACAGCATCATTAGAGGCGTCGCAGCGAGCGCAGACTTTTGCGGCACTCACTTGACTTCTATAATTTTCTCTCACATGTGTAAAGCACATAAAAACTCACATTTTAGCTTCGTGAGGAGAAAGAATTTCCACAGGTCAATTTTCTTGCATAATTATGCCTTATTTAACTAAGCTTAGAATATTTTCAATATTAGAGATGAAATAAACTTATTAATTTTAATGCGATTTATAATAAATTATATGCAAATAGCATAATATTTAATATTGAATAATTTCCGCAACTCATGAAAGCCGAAACTTTCATCAAGTTAAATGATGGTACATAACTTTAAAAAGCTTTGTGCAAGAAATCCTTCTTAAAACTTGCCGGCGAAGTTGGTCGATCGCGGCCAGTATCGATCTAATGACGACATCACTTAATGCGGAAACTTGCAAAGTATGCACAAAGGAAGTAGAAGCAGTAGCAGATAAACAATCAAAGTTCAAAGCGATGAGCTATGTAAGCAACCATTGTTGGACAATTATGACCTTTCCTAGCAATCAGATCCTCTTAAGATTACGTTTTTCGTCATCTTGATGAAACTGTTAACTGGCTTTAAATTCGTAGATCTGATCGACATTTTAAGTTTTGTTTGCTCATTTTCAGGAATTTTTCGGAAAATGAGAAAATCTACAAGAATTTTCAATCGGTAAACATGGCAAGCCCAATAATTTTCTAATTTGCTTAGGAACATATTCTACGATTTTTGTGGGGTTGAGTTTTTCGGCTGACAAGCGGGGTGAAGGGCTCCAAATAACAACACCGCGTTGTGATGCAAAAATGGGGTACCTACTTTATTGCAAAGTACGGGGCAGGTACAAAAATGAGGTGCGGGCGTCTCCCGTCCGTTGACCAATTCCCGCAAGGACGTTGGACACAGACGCGGGAGAACCGCTGGCAATTTGTAATTAGGCGTTCGGAAGTCCCAATCTGCGATTCCCCTAAAGAACGTCACAGTCGGATGCAACCATGGCTTATTACTTATGCCTCACAAAACTTACAATATTCAACATAATCGTCGAAAGGTCTTTAAGAGAAAAAAAATCTGGACACCGCGGTGTAGAAATCGACTCTCAATGTGCTAGTGGCATCTAGCGGCGAGCGGCGCAAACATTTCCTAGACTTAATAGATCTTGCAATAAGCACGGTGATCCGCGGTGGCTTGGTAATGCAGGCGAACACCACGAGATGGCGCTAGTAGTATTGATTGATAAATGTGACGTTGTTACAACCTCCCCCTCAGATCACGAAGTCGTCCCGACGAGAAGATCTGGATTACGTTCTTGTGACGTCCACGGCCTCGTCGGTGAACAACTGGTTCATCTTTCGTCTTCTTAGACCATCTTCTGAAGTTTCGTTTGTTCCATCTTTGATGTTTGCCCAGGGCTTTATGTGAAGATGTCATACAGAACGCAGGTCCAGGTTGTCTGGTAAATTCATAAGAACGTTCGCATCTTGGAGTGTTTTTGCCTGTGATTCTTCGCGATTCCTTGACTGCGGAATGTAGATCACTTAGTACCAAATCTTCATTTTGGTATTCTGGACGACAATGAGACTGTTTGTCAATTGTTTCCATAACAACAGGGGTTTCTTTCCCCTCCCCCTGCTCATGAACTACTCCCAAAACATCTGTATTCATGTAAAGGAGTCTTGTATCTGTCTTTTCTAACACAAAGTTTGCAGTCGATCCATGATTCAGTTTCGTACAAGCAGTCTCCTTGACGATCTTCATATTGTCAAACATCTCTGGTTTCGGTGTTGTGGCTATACGTATGTCAATGGCATAAAGTCCGATATCTTGATTTTGTGTTTTTGATCTTGTGCATGTTGGACATTTGCTCCTGACGACTCCTGGTGCACCGCAACCGTAGCATGAAAAGCGTGGAGATGAAGGACTGAGGGATTTGACTTGAGTGGCAATGACTTCGGGTGCTTGCGTCAGTGTAGGCGATGAAGTATTTCCATCTTCTTCATCCTCACTATTTGGACGTTGGAGTTTCCTACAATCTTGGATTGTGTGGCCCACAAAATGGCAGAACTCACACCGTTTCTTGATATTACGTTGTGGTGGCGGGACCAGTATATCCTTGGTCAAGCTCACATCAGCCATGAGTTCTTCTACTTCCCTTGCGGCGGCCAACAATTCGTCAAAGGAATGTACGGAACCTCTGGGTATCTTTTCCCTGAGTTTGAGGTTTATTTGTCCGAAAATCATATCGAGTTGTTGTTCCTCTGTGTGTTGTGGTGAAGGCAGCTGCGCGAACAACATTCTTTTGTGAGCTACAAATTTTTCAGTTGTGACGTCATCGCGCTGTTTTTCACCGACTATTTCTTGGTACAGGATGTACGCAGGTTTCTTTGGTGCAAATGCATGGCGTAATCGAATCCCGAATTGCTCCCAGGTAGTCACTTGTGTTTTGACTCCTTGCCACCAGATGGCAGCCTCACCCTTGAGTAATAGTGGGACTCCATCAAGAGCTTCCTGGTCTGGGATATTTTCTATCTTCTTGAATATGCTTACTGCCGCTAAAAATGCTTCAACCGTTTCGGGGTTCTTCTCACCTTCATAGCTTGCCGTGCATTGAGCGAAGCTTCCTCGGCGGCTCATTGAAAGTTTTGCAAGTAGTGCTTGGAACTGCTCATTCGTTAAGCTTACTGTCATCTTCTTGCTTTGGTTGCTGCTTGCTGGATAGGTGGTGACACGGCCGAACTTGGTGATGTNTTATTTAGTGCGAAATCGTTCCTGTAAGTGCTTCGTGATCTCACTCGAATATTTCTTATAGTAGGTATACAAGATGTCGAACAAATGGTTACTTACTGAAAAAGTGCTTCATGAGACCTAGCAAACGGCTTCAATAATATATGTTTAAGAACGAACTGAATCTATTCAAAAATCCTATATTTCCAGCTTCCATACATTTAATACAGTTACAAACAAAAACGAAATCAAGTTTCTGAGAATTCTGAGTGCCTTAATGCCGTCCCCTTTATCTGTTTATTTAGTATTTATTAATTAGTATCTCTTGATGATATTGTAGCAAGTTAAACCTAAAATCATGTTTTCCGTAAATAATTTAAATAAGAATGCAATTTACGAGTTTGTTGTTTGATTATTATATAATTCAATTAAACATTTAAATTTAAAAAATTAACACCTATAATATGGCTGGCGGCATACATTTAGTAAGAAATTCGGAAACATTAAATTTTCGCATAGATCCAGTTTATTCTTTGACCTATTTATTGTTATTGTTTTAAAGAGCTCACGAAGCACTTACAGGAACAGTAAACAGTTTCTCGATATCTTGTATAATTAAAAATCAAGTGAAATCACTTATCGTTTCCACCTTGTACCTATACTTTTAAAAATAAACTCATTTTATACGTTCATTTGTATAAGTATCTACAGTACAAATACCTAACCAACTTAGTTGACGTTTTATAAAACTATTTGTCTAAGTGTCATCGAGCGACCGCTGGTGGATTTGCCATTTACCTGACCTACCCCTTTATTACTAAACGTTTAATATCAGATGAATAGTTACGCACCAATTTCTTTCATTCAGTCGTCAGTAATTGAACTTTCGGAAAAACATGACGAAGCGTTGTGTGACCATACAGACGCTATTCAACTTTTATTAGTAAGGAAGAGTATATTTTATGTTGGTAGAAACACAATAGCATAGACTAATGTTTTGACACCCTGTTAAAATTTTTATTAGTCATTTATTTTTTCCTGACCAAACAGATACCATAATAATATCTTTTATCTATTCTACCCATATTCTGTAAGTAAAATAATAAAAAGTTTGAAAAGAAAGAAATTACAAGTCCGATTTACCTAAACAAATAAATTAAAAATACTTGCGGATCAAAAGTACTCAATCATACTACAATTTACGAAAAAATCACGCGTGACGCATATACGTCAGTGGGCAGTCAACTGACATAGACCCGGCGTCTACGAGTGCCAAAGCACGACTGATTTATGCCATTTGATGCACCCGATTTTATAGTATTTTCAAATTAATTTTTCATTTGAAGATTGAAGATAGATATTTTTTCTTTTTCACACAATAATAGTACTATGTTTCTTCTTAAGTATAAAGTAGTTTATGTTGCCAAATGACTTTTAGATTATGAGATGTGACCTGTTTTCTTGCAGTAATTTTCTCGAATTTTGACTATCTTAGACATGATAAAAATGCATTTTAATGAATTAAACATCAAAATTTTCTCAATACACTTTCTTCTTCAGGGTATGCTTATTCTAATGAATACATTCCATCTTCTTACTTAGAAATAAATTTGTTGTAATATTAGTTCAAAATTGTGCCTTCGCGAGTTACCTGGAAATCGGGCTTTCGAAATTCGCTGTTTTCGTAGGCAAAAATCCAATTTGAACGAGATTTTGTCAATAGACATTCCGTAAAAACGTATGATAATTACGATGATATAAGTCAAAAGAAGCTATAACAATAAATTATATGACTAAAATCATTTCGAAATCTGCCAAATTCTCGATTTCTGCATGAAAAATGTGACAACGCTCTTAATTCAGACAGAATACTTGTAAAGTCGTACATAAAATAGAATTAAGGAATGAACCCACTGCACCTAATCGTATTGCGTTCGCACACAGCGGTTCAGGTCATCAATCTGACCGCGGGAGATGCTTGTTTTATTAGTTGTAAAGTTCGCGGTTAGTAAGAATACTTTGATTTATATCCTTTCCAGTTTGCCCGACATTTATGGATATAACTAGTTAGCTGAAGTCATTAATTTTAAGTCGGACTTAATGGAACGAATGCATTTATGTTCTCGTTCTCGCACTGATGAAATTACCGAATCGGACACTATTTAATTACATTACAACCACGATATTCTGCAAAACTGTCTCATTTTCATGAAAAACTATTTTCTTTTCTATACTTATAATAAATCTGTAGAGAGGTCAATTCTGTACATGAAATATATTTTCAAAATAACTATCAGGGGGTGATTAGTGATCGATACTGATGCCAAAAATGCAATCAGTAAAATTTTTGTCTGTCTGTCTGTATGTTCCTTATAGAAATAAAAACTAGTCGACGGATTTTAACGAAACTTGGTACAATTATTCTTCATACTCCTGGGCAGGTTATAGTATATTTAGGAATTCCCACGGGAACGGGAGTTAGCGGAAAAACATTTGTATGAAAAAATCTAAACCGCGTAAGATAGATGAAGGTGCTAAAACGGGATCCACGCGTACGAAGTCGCGGGCGGCCGCTAGTCTATAATGAGAAGGAGTTTTTAATTTGAATTAGAAAACATGGATATCAACCAGTATCAAAAATACTAATTCTCTGGCGAAAAAGCGATTTAGCAGCTCATAAGATAGCATTGACTATTGGTGTCTCACGGCTACTGTTTTAGCGTTCACTAGTTAGCGCCACGGTAGAGTAATGTCCTGACATTTGCCAGTGGAGCCTCTAATGATTGCAAATACTAAAGCCCTCGATTTAATAGCTTATAATGTAGGTAGTACTATATCACTTACATCTGTGTCGCTAGGTACTGCGGCTCAGCGTTGGCCAGCATCGGCATACTCCGCGTGTGCGTTATCAAGGAGGACTGCTCGCTGGGCGAGTGGCTGCCGTGGCGGCCGCGCTCCGACGGCGCTCTTGTGCGCACGCGCCGCTTGAGGAAGCTACCGCAAGGTACACACTCCGAACCAGTTTTACTAATGTTTCCATGGCTCAGAAAAGAGCTTGTCATGTTGTAGGTACAGACGACAGTACATTGGCTATCGGCATCTGCAGCTAATACAATTAAGTCAAGATACTACAGTGTATAGCTTAAGACGCCGTCATCTGTGCTTTAGAGCAGTGTTTTTCAACCTGTGGGTTTGAAAGCCTTTGATAAAGATATATTATCAGAAATCTAATTATGAAAATGCGTAAATGTTGTATGGATTGAAGTATTCGGTCCCTACAACATCTTTAAAATGCATGAAAAAGTGGGGGGTCGCGAAATATTTTTTCATGCTAGGGGGGTCGTGTCATGAAAAAGGTTGAAAACCACTGCTTTAGAGTAAGCACTGTTAATAGCTAAAGGCTGTGGTAGAGGTACAATATCTCGGGCTTAGGCACAGGCTCGATCTCCGTCGACCGTGGTGTACTACTATTGTGGTGAAAATCAGCGATCATGTTGTACTGTTACAGGTTCGTGTAGAATTCTTGTCCAAAACCCTTCATTTACCTTTTGTCTTTCAGGTGGCGGTAAAGAATGTGACGTGGTGGAGGAAGTGAAGCCAGCCGCTCTAGAAGCGAGCGCGCACTGGACCCCCGGCCCGTGGGGTCCTTGCCGAGTGGCCATAGAACAACCGGCTGCTGTATTACCCGGTACGTGAAAAAAACCAACGGAAGCAAACAAGAATGAATGATCGATCGCGAGATCAGCCGTTTTTTTAAATATCATGCAACATAAAAGTTTAACTTCGTTAATACTTACTTTGAGCAGGTTCTTGCTTACTCGTGAATCTTTGTTCCTTCCCACAGCCGCTACCGACGATGACAACGACGACGCGGATGACAATGATGCGATTTACGACGAGGATGACAACGAGGCGGATGAGGATGACAAGGAGGCGCCGGAGGCCAACTGCGGTGGAGGCGTGCAGAGAAGAGAGGCGACCTGCGTCAGAGCTGACGGACGAGCCTTGCACCCGGCGCAGTGTGCTCACGCGCCGATGCCTACGCTAGTGCAACCTTGTGAGGTAAAAATACATGGAAAACAACTTAGAGAACATTAGGGCACTAAATGAGGGCTATCGTTTTAGCGCTCACCTGTTTGCGCCACTGTAGAGTAAGGTCCTGTCACTTGCTAGTAGCGAAGACAGTGGCACCAACTGGTGAGTGCTAAAGTGGTAGGAGGACTATCGTATTTGCACTCATCAAGATGGCGCCACTGTAGAGTAAGGTCCTGTCAATCGCCAGGGGTGCCAACTGTTAAGTATAAAAACGATAGCCCTCATTCATTACCTAAAATTAATAACTAAGAAATATAAAAAAATAAAACACTCAAACTACTTCGCCGTGCGCCTGGCCAGCAAGAAACTTTTTTAATTTAATGTTCTTTTTCGTTTCGCAATTGTTTTTTTCTAGGATTTGCAAAATTGTAGTCACAGATTACAGAGATTAGAGATTGTAGTTACCGAAATAAATATTTTCAAATTTTCTGAATGAGTAATTATTTCTCCACCAGGTACCCTGCCCCCGAGACTGTGAAGTTGGCGAGTGGAGCGAATGGGGAGCATGTCAACCTACGGATGGATGTCCTCTATTCCCTGTCCAGCAATTGACAACTACTGGTATGTCTGAATGCATAATGCTACCTATCTATGGTCTCTTAGTAAATAGGGGCTGTGCAGAGTTATAGTTAGTAGAGATATAAACGGTTACAAGACAATGTTCTAAAAATCAATCACTATTTTAATTGCACATTTGTGCCTTTGCGCAAGAAGCACGATCCAGCAGTTTAGTTTTTCCGATAGTTTCTAGGATATTAAGTTATAACATCCTCTATATTTTCCTACAGGCTACAGCGTACGCCGCAGACGCGTGATATCCGCAGCTTCTGGTGGTGGGGCACCCTGTCCTCCTCTGGAGGAGAAGCGGACGTGCACCACCCCTCGCTGCGCGGCGTGGAAGGCCTTGCCCTGGGGACCCTGTGTGCTCAACCAGCCGCATTCTACCTGCGGGCCTGGCAAGCGCAGCAGGGAGCTAAGATGCGTGGGACATGACGGGGTAAGTTATGAACTATTCTACATACAAAATATCTTTAGCATCGTACAAAAAACGTCCCATGCTGGAGGAGAAGTGAGGTACTTCATCACCCGCTGCGCGGCGTGGAAGGCTCTGCCCTGGGGGCCCTGTGTGCTGAACCAGCCACATTCCACCTGCGGGCCTGGCAAGCGCAGCAGGGAGCTAAGATGCGTTGGACATGACGGGGTAACATAAGATTTTAAACTTTCGCGTTCCATTTCAACTAAAATAGTAAGACACGCGACGTTTACTAATGAGTTACATTTGACTCTACTACGAGACAATGTCGATTGCCGGACAAGGGAAGGAAGGAATTTGCAACGAACCTAGGTTTATTAGGAACAAGGAACCATGAAAGTGTTCCGATGTTACTAATGCCAACAATAGGAAAACAATTTGAAATACTTCAAAAGATATTAGAGGATCGCTTAGTTAGTCATCTCACCCCTCTGGTCCAAGGTTTTTTCATGAGTCTGGGTGCATCTTTCTAACGTAAAGCAACAAACATTACAAAAAAAAACTTCTTTTGTGCAGAAAGAAGCACAACGCGCCTGGTGCAGCGGCAGCGGCGCGCCAGCTCGTAGCGAGCGTTGCCGTATTGCATGCGCAGGCGACTGTGTGGTATCGTCATGGGGTGCTTGGGCACCGTGTAGCGCTGCCTGTGCCGCGCCCGCGCATCCACGCCCCACCCGCACTAGGAGGCGGCACATCTTGGCACACGCTTCACCTGGTAACTACAACCTTTATGTATCACTAGCTGCTGCTAACACTCCATCGCGTGCGAATACAGGCATCTTCTGAGTAGGCTCGCTCCATCATAGAGTTTCTCATGTACCGGCAAACCTAGAGTACATAATTTCACTTAACCATCATATATAATTTCCTCTACCCTACTACCTACCGTCAATGATACAGATTTCCTCTCCAGAAACCCCGTATTACTGTTGTTAGATGAGGCTAGGACTCTAGGACTCTATCCTTCTTAATAGACTGGGAGTCTGGGACCCTACACAAATGAGGAAATAAGTTCCCGTCCTGGCCAAAAGAGGTGTCATGTATTCTAGATTAGACACTAATACCTTACGTTTTGTCGCCTCAGATGGCTGGCCGTGCCCACCCGAAGACCAGCTCGTCCAGAACGAATCCTGCAACACTCACGCCTGCGCCACATACTCCTGGCTCGCCACTCCTTGGGGCCCTTGTGAGCGAAGGAGGCAGGATTACATGCCTATCACTAACTATACTGATTTGGCCGTAAGTGACTTTTAAGTCTTGCAACATCCTGGCATTGCACACTATGAACGTTTTTGATAACAGCTTAAATACTTTTTAAGGACGGTGAAACATTCAACGAAAACGACGATGAGGAACCGTGTGTGGAAGAAGGCGAGATGACCAGAGACGTGATGTGCGTCCAGAACAACGCGGATGTTGTACGCGAGGCATTGTAAGTGAATTGGTTAATAGAGCAGACTTTCATGTTGTAACCCTCCCTTTATCCTGTCTCTGTCACAAAATTTGTCTCCAAAACTTGTTTTAGTCCAGTCTTGTTTTGTTTAGCGTTCCTTAGATCTACATTAAACAGTAAAACGTTTTTGTAATCGAAGAAAATAACCAATTTTGTAACTTATGTAGATGTGCCCCACTCCACCGGCCAGCGTCTCGGCGCGCGTGCACCGTGCGATGCCGGCGCGGCTGCCGCGTGGAGTCCTGGATGCCGTGGTCACCCTGCCCTAATACCTGTGGTAAACATCTTGTTACACTAGTTCTACCGCCTATTCATACATTTTAAAGGAACTCAGATTGTAAAAGTCTTTATCTGATTAAGAAAAGGTTTGACTAGGCGCAATCAAAAGCTTTTTTGGTGTCTACCAAATCAATTCATCTTATTATTTCTGGATGATTTAAGTTCATTTTAATGGTACTGACAATAGAATTTTCTGATCTGCTCAACCCAGACCCTGGAAAGCAAGTCCGCGTGCGAACAGTGCACGGAGGTCCCAACTGTGGGCCACGGCAAGAGACTCGTGACTGCCCCGTGGCGCGCTCGTGCCGGCCTCGTGACGCGGCCTGGGTCGCCGGCGAGTGGACCACGTGCCGACTACCACCCGGACAGCGCTGCGGGACTGGCTACAGGGTGCGAAGTAAGTATGATATCGGACGCAGCAGAAAACCTGCGACTGTGCGGTGAATTTAATCTTAGAACTATCATTTGCCCTTTAGAAACCTTAAAAAATTAAAACATTTAGATGACTATATGTGGAATTACTGTCTTCAGTTCTTCTTCTTCTTCAGTTGGGTCCCATGTATTTTCTACGCTAATCTGAATTCTTGAATATTTTTACGGCCAATTACTTTCGCACATTTTCTGCATCTTTAGTATTCTGAAACCTTTTGAACCCCGAAACCTGTACGCGTGACAAATGACATGATCCCATGAGACCACAATGACATGCCCTTAGGTACTCCCAATTAAAGTTTATTCACCGGTCCTAAACATTGTCAGGTCTGTGGTGCGGCTCTGACTCGCACCGCGTGGAGGCAGGCGCGTGCGCAGGCCAGCTGGTGCCGCAGAGCGTGGCGGCGTGCCAGGTGTCTTGCGACCTGTTCGTGCCTCTCACCTGTGACGTGGTCTGCAGCGATCCTTTGAAGTAAGTAGAAGAAGAAAGAAACATTTCATGGTATTTTGAGAATGAGATGATTTCATCATCAGCCTATAGCAGTTCAAATTTCAATGCTAGCTAGAGCTATTAGCATATTCAATACTAGGCCTCCCCTTGGACGAATATTCGTCCAAAGGCCTCCCCCAATAGGCGCCATAAAACGCCCGCCATGGTTTTGTAACAAACAAAGGTTTCTGCCAGCGATATTTCCAAAATCGTCACTCCACTTATCTGGACCGTGTCCTCTGCACTAAGCTTGCCAAGTCTCCTCCACTCCGGAACTCACTAATTTGTGGTTTGATTTTTCAGGTACTTGGACGCTTCTGACCCCGACATTCCCAACTGCGTCTGCAAAAACGTCTCTCTTGAACTTTTGCCTGCCGATTCGGATTGCATTTTACCCCCTGGGTAAGTCTAAAAATTTACTTACTATCGTAAACCTACTAATTTATAGTAGATAGAAGTTTAGGTAAATATAATTTAACATGTAACTTTTTTAGATTGGAATGCGGAGAAGGAAGAATTTTGAGAGCGGCGCGGTGCATGATTGATAATCGCGATGTACCCATAGACATCTGCAAGAAGTTCCACCCACTTACTGGTAACTGAACAACCTTTTCCTTTTCTACGGCTTTGGTTCCTTTAGCTTCAGCAAAGTATGCCTTTGCAATTTTGCATCTTATGTGGATGATATTAAGTAAAGGGTATTTTCAGGACAAAGCCGAGTCCGCGAAGCGTCCACAGATGGCTACACGTACGATGAGGAGTTTGGTTCCCTTCTCCGGGGCGCGTGTACAGTGAGATGCGCGCGGGACTGCGCCGCAGGTCCTTGGGGAGAATGGGGACCGTGCGCTTCTGAACCTGGGTCAAGGGCTGCATTCCGGTTCAGGACTAGGTACGTTATGTACAGTCTTTATCTACTGGAAGTAACGATGTGTTATAAAATGGGTTTAAAATAGGAGCATGCATACATGCACCGCGAATCAAGGGAGACTGTGCTGCCAAGCTATCAAGAAAGAAAGAAAGAAAAGTATTTATTCGATGCTAGTACAAAATAAAATAACAAATAGATAATATAACAAAACCAAACAGTAAAGTACATGCACCAAAATGGCATCTGCTCAGTATAAAAAAAAACCCTGGTCAAAAAAAAACCTGGTGAGAGAAAATACATCCAAAAAGTTTGACGAGATTACAGAGGTTTCGACTGATATAGTACCTAATTCAAAGTCAAGTTAGAAGTCACGCAAATCCCTCTTTTGATTACTAAATCTTCATAATGCCCTTCTACCTTCCAGGGAAGTGGTAGAGGAAGGTTCTGGCGGCGGGCGGGAGTGCGGTGCCACATTGCAACGTGCCACGTGTGAGGTGGGCGCAGCGAGATGGGCACTGGGCGAGTGGTCCGTGTGCGCCCCACGCCGGGCTTTATGTGGAAGATCTGTTATCAACCGGACTGTTATGTGAGTATAGCAGTTTACTCACCTTTATAAGGAAGTGGTGAAAGAAAGCTCAGGCGCCGGACAGGAGTACGGCGCGACTCTCCAGCGTCTAGCTTTATGCCTTCGTCACCATTCTGTCATACGAACATAGTTATCCATTTTGCAGACTTTTTTATGCAAGCAAACAGATATTTGACAGCAATCACACCTGATGTTAAATGATATGCAGTCTATAATAGTACCTATGGTCCATACCTGATCTGTAAGTGCCTATTGACTCTCGCTTTGTAGAGGCCCGGATTTTAGTGTTCGGGAAAAACAGCAGTAGGCAGCGAATTCCAGTCCTTCTGTTCGCATTACAAAAGAGTTTGCAAAGCGCTTAGTGCGAGCTGATGGAATGTCGAAAATGTAAGGATGATATGATAACCTGGCCATTTCTTCAGCTTTTGTTTTTACCCTGCGACTCTCAAAAACGCCCATTCATTTGTTTTTGATCAGATGCGTGGACGCGGACGGCAACTGGCTGTCGGAGGCGGAGTGCGAGGCGGGCGCGGGCCCGGCGCCGGCGCGCGACGCCGCTTGCCGCGCGCCCTGCCCCGCCGACTGCGTCGTCAGCGCCTGGTCCGAGTGGAGCCCCTGCGAGCAGGTAACACGAATGTCTAATTTTAGGACAATAACTTGCAGCTAACGAACGAAAGTCGCTGACATAGCCCGACCGATCAGCAAGCTGAAGTAGGCAGGGCACTAGTACGCAGAACTGACGGCCGATGGGGCAGCAAGGTTCTGGAATGGACGCCACTTGACACAACTTGCAGCTCTACGTCTTCCAGCCCGTGGTCGCCACTCGAGAACTTTCCTGCCCCAACGGCCATCGTCTCTACGAGCTATGTGCCCCGCCTACTGCCACTTGATTTTAGCGTGGGCAAGCCTCCTACTAGGTGGACCGACGATCTGGCAAAGCGCAAAGGTCGCGGGAAGAGCCTGGATGCGGGCAGCGCAGGACCGTTCATTGTGAAAAACCTTGGGGGAGGCTTTTGTCCAGCAGTGGACGTCATTTGGCTGAAACGAACGAACGAACTTGCAGCTTTGTTGGCCCCGGAGGACACTGTTGGATTTTAGTGGGTAGGCTCTGCCCTTCTGGCGAGGAGAGTCCCACTAGAATGTCGTTTCGTCCCCATCGAACAGTGGATATACGCAGAGCATTTCCCGATGGAAAAATGTAGTAGGACTACCACCTCTCGATCCCATCGCTGCATCTTCTGTACTACAGAAATAATGTGCAATTATAAAATAAAGCGTAATTTGATTCCACTTCTGCGGCAAATGTAAAAAGGCGCCATAATCAATGGAAGTCTAGGGCCTAAACGATGTCTAATTAGCTTCAATCATGGTCTGGCGGTAGAAGTTTTGAGGTCCATCTTACTTCCAGACAAAATGGGGAGGTCGCCGCGATCGTACGCGGGTGGTGCTTCGCCCGGCTGCGGACGGCGGCGCAGCGTGCCCGCACCTGGTGGCTGCGGAACCCTGCGCGCCCCACGCATACTCCTGGCACGTCGCGCCTTGGGACGACTGCCAGCCGCTAGGTAAATACCATGACAAGATGGTCAGTAAATAATGTGATCAATTTTTCTGCAACCTACCTGAAATACGAGTAAATGCCGTGATTGATAGAGCCTTTATTTCTCCATTGATACAGTTTGTGATCTGTATACTTCAAAGTAGGTATTCGAATATTTTTTAAACAGGTGGATCGCCGTGCGGTGAAGGAACTAAGAAGAGAGCTGTTCGCTGCCTCAGAAGTGATGGAGTTTTCGTCAACGATTCATATTGCCCTGTAAGTAATTCTTCAGACAAATTATAACCTTGAAATGAAGCTTTGAAACTACCTAGGTCTAGCCATATAACCTACCGAAACAGCCATATACTGAAATGCTAATCTATTTTAGAATACAACAGCGTCTGAAGCAAGAGAGTCATGGTGCTACGTGCCGTGCGGTGTAGACTGTGAACTCGGCTCGTGGGGACCTTGGGACACTTCGGCCTGCTCCTGTGGAGATACATCGGCTACCATGCATATGCGACGAACAAGGTACTTAATTCTTTAAGAACCCTCAAGCTTTTGTTTCTTCAAAATTACTGTGTATTTTAAGCTCCCATATTACCGTGTATTTTCTTCAGGCAACACCTGACGGCGGCTGTCTGGCCAGGACGCGCGTGCCCGCCCACAGAGCAGCGCGCGCCGTGTCCCCGGGAGCCCTGCCTACGCCTGGTGGCTCGGCCATCCTTGGGTTGCCATGTTCAGGTAATATTCAGACAGCACTTTACAATAGTTGTTGGCGTTCGCAGTGCGTATCAGTGAGAACAAATGAAACACGTCCATGGATCCCCATCATCATCATCTCTGCTGGACTTGGAACACGATTCAATTTACCAGAGGTACCACCCGTAGCTAACCCAAGAGGCAATCAAGTACCTATCTGCATTCTACAGAAGCTGCGGGCCCGCAAGCGCCGCGGGCGCGTGTAAAAATCGCGCCATGAGTTCATAGCCTTAACTAAAGCCTGGTCCGTGAGCACGTAGAATCGCGACTGTGCGACGCGCGCCCGCAGTGAGTGTGCGAGCGCGACAGCAACATAATTACGTGCGAGCGATAAGGATGGGTAGCTTGGGGTCATTGGACGGGATTCTACGTGCTCACGGACCAGGCTAGCAAAAATCACGTTTGCTAATTTGTTTTAGAAGTCGACCGGCGACGAAGCGGACGGTACTTGCGGGTGGGGCGTGCGTGTGTCACGCGCGCGTTGCGAGGTGGCGGGCGACGCGAGCGCCGCGCTGCAGCCCTGGCGCTGCGCCCCCGCTCTACCCGGCCGTATTGTTGCACCACCTATGCACTATCAGGTAGGACTTCCTCTCTAGCTGGTATATAAATTGGTAATGCTATTTTTTAGAAAACAATAATAATAGTAATACCTAGTATAACTTGGGGGTTTCTGAGAGTGCCACGAGTAAGCTCTAGTTACTAGTACATAGTAAAAGATCATAGCGGCCCAGATCTTATCTGACCGTATCATAATAACTTGCTTTCTAGCTAGCCAAGAAATAACTCATAAAGGCTAAGAAATAACTAATTTCATTATTTCTACTGAAGATGTTTTTGCAAATTAATAGTTCCAAAACTCATAAAACGTCATCTCATTATTTTTACTGAAGATGCCTTTGTAAATGAATGGTGCCAAAACTCATAAATCGTCATCTTTACTTTGACGCTGTCTCTAATAGAAGACCGACGAGGTCTAACTAGTAAACATTTAATCGCTGATTTAAGATCAAAGTTTTACTAGCAAACCTTTAAAGATTCTCAATCTCGAACCTCTTATCACAGGAGGAAGAGATCTGCGAAGTAGAGTGCGGGTGCAAGGAATCCGAGAGTGGGACCCCGGGCCCCTGGGGCGCGTGGGGCCCGTGCCGCGCCGGGGCGCGCTCGCGCACGCGACAGCTGCTGGTACCAGCCCGTCGCGCTTGCAAGACTCCTTCAAGGTACAGTAAAGTTTTTAATAATAATTCTTTGTCTTCAAAACTTTAAATACTTACTCCTAAGCTACTTTGATTAGAAGTAGAGAGCGTGGTTGGCTGAAAGAATATCTTACTTTAGGCCGTTTGTGTTATGTGCTCCAAGTGAACATACCTACATAAATGTAAAAAATATGCATCACTCTTTGTTTCATATAGTGAAAAAAAAATATCTCGAAAAAGCTTTCAACGCTATCGCGCTGTATTTTCGTATTTCAATTGCTTAAAAAATATGTAAAATCCGAATTCCACAATTTAGGCGATCATAAACGATTTCATCCAGACAACCCAGACTGAGGACAGATGTTCAAAAATCAATCAAAACTTGCATCCTTTGTAACTCTCCATGGTCTTATTCACTCGCAGATACGTAACGATCGAATGGGCCAACTGCACCGGAGAGGCAGATGAGATTCCCGACCTTTTAGCCATCGAGCCGCGCAACGACAAGCCGCGCCGCGCCTGGCTCGAGAAGGATGTCTACCACGATGGCTACATTGGTAAGACGTCATACCTTTAGCTAGAAATTGAAACATGTTACAGATGATGCCTACAACATGGCTACTCATATAGGGATTACACCATTCATTATACCCTTTGTAGCCAAGGCACCCCACTTGAAACTGTGCCGCGACGAACGGCTGGAAACATGAATTAATGTTCTCAGCAGTGACAGCAGCCAGATAACCAAACAAAGCTATGATAAATTCAGATCATATTTTATGCCCAGTGCAGATTGCAGCGACATGCTACTGACCTATAAAATCATGGCACTTTCTGTTACTACTTTCTGTTTCTACTTACAGTTTCTTCTGTCATTAGTGCCTACCTAGGTACTTCTCTTTTGTATAGTAAGCCAAGATTATTTCAACGAAGTTTTTTTTCTTATTCAGAGGGCAGCAGCTCATTGTTGGCAGTGGTGTGGACCGCGACCATTGTGCTGAGCTTCTACGGAGCATTCATGCTTTATCGCGGATTTATACGGTAATTACAAAAAAAATCATTATTTAATGATATACCTACTGGTTTTTCTTATAGCCTTTTCACAAGTTCCTCGATGAACTAACAACTTATTATTTACTTCATATTTTTCTATGCTGATTCGTCATTAATTTTTGTATTTTTGTTCCAGATGCCTCCGAAGCAGGAAAATGAAGACCATTACGAAAGTGTAAGCTGCTAGAAGCGACAATGCGTGGTAACCTTCTTGCAAGACTCGTCCGCTGTCGTCAGCGACCGGGGTCTAACTGCTTCGTCGTCTATTTTACTCTCTAGCATAGAGATAATAGCCGCTGGACAAGAAAATCAATTGAAACATGTAACTATTCTTGAATATTAACTTCTAGCGGTTACTAAGTCTATGCCCTCTAGTCTCCAATCGTCACGGTTGAGTTTGTCGTTAGTCAATTGTTGATTTTTATCCATTTCTATTGGGAACCAAAGAGTTATTATTAAGTGATGTTACTTAGTTTGGGTATTTATTATTACAACAATTAAGTTTTGGCGTAATGTCGGTTGCTACTTAAATCCCTACCCTAATTGTCCCCTTTTCATAAAATAATTATTAATCAATAGGTATTTGTTTACCCACTATAAAGTAATAATTTCTTACTCCTATCCCAACTTTACGTCTAAGCTCTGAAATGCTTGGCGCTATTGTAAGCTAAATAGTACTTAGATTTAAAACAACAGTACACACACATGATTTGAGTCTTGTTCCTGACATTTAGAATGGGACATTTTTGTTAGCGATCTGTTATGGGGGTGGAAAAGTTAGGATAGTCGGCAATCAAGTCACTTTTGGCGTGTTGCTGTAGAATAAGATTGTTTTATCCCCCGTTAGGGGAACATAATCCAAGTGTTAGGAATGTGCTTCTGTTAGATGCCCATAGCGGATTGAACCACGGGGTGAATCATTCATCTCAGTGTAATATTAAAAAATATCGACAGATATTGTAAGATAGTGGTTTTAACATTTTTACAGCAAACAGTCTGTCCGCAGGAGTGCTTCCATGTTTTTATATTAATAAAGCATATTTAGACGGTTTTTATAACATATCTGGGCAGTCGGCGGGCTTTTGGAATGATGTTGGGTGTGCTCGGCACTGAGACTAGACCAATCGTTTACTTTTTCATTAAAAAATACGAAAAAAGGCGAATTATATTATGAACTTTTACGGTGTTAAAGAATACGAACATTGGGTGGTTCAATGAGTGGATTATTGTCATGGACTGAGTCAGAGCACAGCCGTCCATTTTAATTGAACATCTGCCTGAAGTCAAACTATTAACTACATAACTAAACTTCTAAAATGAAAACTCTAACAATGATTTTAGGGAACGGTCAAGAGCTAGACATAGCGATTCGTCAGCTGTAATTTCTTAAATGTGTTACAAACAGTTTTCAAAGTATATTTTGAAGAAAGCAAAAAACTATTTTTCTAATTTTACGTGTTCACACTATTTTGATAAGACTTTTAGTTTCAGGGAGTGTTCGCACAATGCAACTGTTTATGGACGTTTATGTATTCGTTAGTCATTAGTTGGCTATTTAATTAGCATATTTTACAATTATTTTACATGATTTAGGAACGGCTAAGGAAAGAACTGCCAACATTGAGTCTTGCAGAGCTGCGCTCTGGCGACCAAGTAAGACGTGACACATCATGCCACATATCAAACTTAAATATTTAAACAAATCTCGTAATCTCAAAGCGAAAGATTGCATTAGAGTTAAATTGTATTATTAATTCTATTGCAGCCTTTCTGACGCTTAAGTATCATCCAAGTAGAGCTTTGGCGCACAAACTACGTATTTTACGAATAGATTGTAAGACCTATATTAAATGATCATACAGTTTTGAGATAATAATCGTGTATAACACTTTTTTGTAGATTTTGCATTTAAGCCCATGTATTGTGACAAGTATATAATTAATAATGTGAGTGTGTTCTACGTCTACTCGATTTCCATTCATAATTTCCTTTCTTTTTCGAGGCTTTCTATCGTCTTTCAATTTCGATATACAGGGTGTTTGGCGCNGTATTAATAAGTAATCTAAATCATTGACACTATTATCTGTCTTACTACGATCGCTTTTTACATGCATATTATATTTCTATGGATATTGTTATACTATTTTATTGAAAAGTGTAATTCTTTAGCTACTTCTCGTTCCTTCTCGACAATATACTATAATTTAAGGTACTATGACTGTAATATCTCTGTCCCTTCTGTGTCTCGTCTTTCGTCACTATACTTTGACCCTTGATGTATTTGTAACCATATATCATTATGCCATTACAAGATATTGATGTGAAACATGATAGTTAAGGAATCGTGTTAGACAATACAATATTTGATATTTAATAAAATTTGATTGTGTTTTTATAATCTTTGGCTTTTTATTTCACGCCTGACTTCCACTAAACTCAATTTTAACTCGATCACAAAAGTGTAAAGCAATCTGACAAATTAAGTATGATCTCTGTCTTTGACAAAACTAGGTAAGGTATTTCTCCAACTTTCGAATGTATCACAGTATAGATAGGCTGTGGTATAGGCATGAACCAATCACTAAAAAACCTAGAAATTAAAAATATAAATAAAAGAATCTGTTCTAGAAAAGCTATTTATTCCTTGACTTTAAACTATTGAGCGCCTTGGGTTCGTAGCGCAGGTCGGCCAGGCCCTTGCCCACGATGGCGTTGACGCGAGCTGAGCGTAGCTCCCGCCTACACTTCATAACGTCCTTCTCTGCCACTGACAGGTTCTCCAAGTTGTTCAGGAGCACCTGAGGGTAAAATTAAAATCATAATTCATAATAGGTACGTTACATAAAAGATGACTGTGCCTTTTGGACAGCTCATGAAGTCGGTCGCCTTATGGGCTATCTCAGTCTCGGTTAGACTAACTGCCTACTCGCTGCGTTTCTGGTGCCCCATACCTATCGATTGATGTCAGTCCCAAAGGTGAGAAATAAAAAAAAATAGGTAATATTTGTTACTACTATGACTAAAACACTCAAGCATCTGATAAATATTTTATTATTAAACATTACATAGTTGATAATAAACAGAAGACAATATTTATAATAGCAATTAAGTATAAAGTAGGTATTACATCGCGGCATAAGATGACTCAGCGAATTTATTAGCTGCTTTCTGAGCATTTATCATTGTCGGTGAGTTGTAACTAAAGACATCGGAGCAATAATAATCCCTAATGGTCTTCATGTCAACTTTCAAGGGGCCTCCGGTCTCTTTGGTGCTGGTTACTAAATGAGGAAGCAAGTTTGCGAACACTTTCTCTTGGTATGGACCCAAATTTGTGAAGTTGGGGCTTATCTCCGCTAGTCGACAGCAGAGTGAACTCTGGTCACAATAATACAGACAAACTCCACTGTATTCAGCCAGCGCGCGCACTATCTTCCAATCATGACGAGCCTTCCCAGGCGGAGTGAGTGCAGGCAGCGCAAACTGAGATCGGCCCTCCATATTCATAAACACACCACCAGCCTCAGTGTACGCGCTCCCTGGCAAAATAGCCTGAGCAACTTCTGCGCCACGATCTCCTTGAAAACCGATGTAAATCACGATGCAGTTCTTTGGTGGCGTCCAGTCATAAAATATCTCATCAGCTCCCAGAGAAATGAGCACCTGCGGTGGACAGGTCTGTACGGCTTCTAAACCACCGGACTTCCATCCTGCTTCCAAAGCGCCTGCGAAACTTGCTTCCCTAGGAATAAAGTTAATGACATTCCAATCGCAACAAACTTTACCGAAAGTACCTGCCAAATCTGACGCTAGCTTCAATATTATGCCAGCGTGTTCAGTTTCTAGTTGCGCCACGCCAATAAATATTAACGGTTTTTTGGCGCCTTTCATTCCTTCTACAGCTTTTGATATGGACTTAACATCTTCACCCAAATAATTCACGTGATAGTTGTAATCACATTTGGGTCCAACAACGTAAATATCACATTCGTTAAACATGTACGCCTGACGAATCCTTGCGTTTAGTACAGGGGCTTCAAAGCGCGGGTTCGTTCCTATTAACAAAATTTTATCAGCGGTGGCTATTTCACTCATTTTAATATTCAATGAATATCCAACACGCAAGTCAAAGTTCGAAATCGAGTGATACAATCCCCGTTCGATGTACGTGTGCTCAGACCCCAGCATATTCAAAAAATCTTTGCAGGTTACTAAAGTCTCTACATTGGTGTGAGGACCAGCAATAGCCATGACTTTATCTGGCTCCGTGCACCTTATCATTTTTCCAATCATTCGCAACAAGGTATCCCACTCAGTCGTGCATAGGCAACCCTGAAATCTATGCATGGGGGTGACAAGTCTTTGCATTTCTAAGGAGTCTATAGCCCAACGACCTTTATCTGATAACCATTCTTGATTTATTTCTGCGTGTTCTCGTGGTAGAACTCTAAGTAACCTATTGAAGCGATAGTTCAATACTATATTTGTTCCAGTTGCGTCAGTAACATCTATTGAATTAGTTCTTATTACTTCCCAAGGCCTGGCTTTGAACATGTACGGGATTGCAGTTAATGCTCCCACAGGGCACAAGTCTATTATGTTTCCTGATAATTCTGAAAGAAACATCTTATCAACATAAGTTCCTACAAGCATATCAGTGCCACGACCAGCAGTTCCCAAGACATCCATACCACATACTTGTGAACCGAATCTAATACACCTGGTGCAATGAATACAGCGAGTCATTTCAGCTCGAATGAGAGGCCCTAAGTTCTTATCCTCTACTGCCCTTTTGCCCATGAAATGAACATCTGTAAATCTTGAACGATCGTTTCCAAATCTCATAGATAAGTCTTGAAGATCACATTCGCCACCTTGGTCACAAATGGGGCAATCAAGGGGATGGTTTATCAAAAGAAATTCAAGGACGCTTTCTTGTGCAGTCAGGGTTAAAGGAGAAATTGTGTTAATTTTCATATCCTTCATCACTGGTACGCCACAAGCCACTTGAAGTTTAAACATTCCCTCTACCTGCACAAGGCACATTCTGCAATTCCCTGCGATAGAGAGTCGTTCATGGTAGCAAAACGAAGGTATCGTGACACCTTCTCTTCTCAAAGCTTGCAGAACTGTAAAGTATTTTGGTACTTTTACCGGTTTTCCGTTAATAAAAATATTTACATCTTTATCTTCAACTTTTCCAGCTGTTCTTTTTTGTAAATGGCGAAATATGTTGCGGCTCTTTAAAAGTTTAGAAGATAATTTAAACATAACTTCTAAATCAGTGTTTTTTGTAACAAAAAATAAGTTTTGACTGTGTGAATGTCAGACATGTCACAATTTAACTGACTGATGGCAGCTTTATGACAATGCCATCAAAAAGTAGAATTGCAAATAAGGTTTAACCACCTGCTTATTAACAAAAAAGGTGCGTTTAAAATTCAAAAAATACCTGATGGATGGAGTTGATGAGTTGTATCAGGGCTTCTTTGAATTGCAGAAACGTTTCTGTAGCTCTCTGATACCTGCAAAGATGATCATAGCATCAGCCACGGACATAGCATACTACTACATAAATTTTGTATAAAATAGTATTTATTTAATGTTTTTATGAAACCATTAAGAAACTGAACTCCCAAGAACAATAGTGCGGAGCAAGTACAGACGAACGGCACATCAACGTAACCACTGCGGATTCTTGTGCAGTTGTAATAGGGGCGAGTTTGCAACCAAAATGGGTAGCCTGATGTGCTGTCGTGTACATTTGCGTGTATTTTAATCCTTCAAGGCCCGCGAATCTAGACACAATAGATAATCAATGAGGGCTATCGTTTTTATACTTAACAGTTGGCACCCCTGGCGATTGACAGGACCTTACTCTACAGTGGCGCCATCTTGATGAGTGCAAATACGATAGTCCTCCTACCACTTTAGCGCTCACAAGTTGGCGCCACTGTCTTCGCTACTAGCAAGTGACAGGACCTTACTCTACAGTGGTGAGCGCTAAAACGATAGCCCTCATTGTTATGACATTAATGAATGCCGTCTGGGACTCAAGCGGTTAAGTAAAAATATGTACGTAAACTTTCAATAAAAAAATAAGCTTTTACTTGTGATCGTGCATGGTGTCGGTGAAGGCATAGTCCAACGCCAGCCTCAGAGAGCGCGCGGCGCGCGGCGCGGCGGGCGCGGACAGCACGCGGCGCGCGCCCCGCTCGAGGCAACGCGCTTGCACCAGCAGCGTGCACGTGTCCGCGCACGCCAGGGTGCGCTCCCAACCACTCCTGGATTATATATAAATAAATCATCATCATCATCATCAACAGCCCTTTACAGTCCACTGCTTGACTATGAGCCTCCTTCACTATACATACGAGTAGTGGAGGGTTTTGCCATAATCTCCACGCTTGGCGCAATTTAAAATCGCAATTTAAAGTTACTTTTATGAATAAATATCTTTGGACAATTTCACAGAGCGTTATCTAGCCCCAAAGTAAGCAATTAATACGCTTGTGTTATGGGTGCTAGCATGACGGATATACTACTTATACATATAGCGCGCCCCGCTCGAGGCAGCGCGCCTGCACCAGCAGCGTGCACGCGTCCGCGCTCGCCAGGGTGCGCTCCCAACCACTCCTGGAGATAATCAATAAATAAGGCTGGTTTTAGAATCGCGCTGACCGCTCGCTGATCGTCGGCGCTGACAAATCAAAATGTATGTAATTGAAGGGAACGTTCATGAGTGACGCTGATCGCTCGGCGCCGACGCTTCATACATTTTGGCTGTGAGCGCTGACGGTCAACGTGATTCTAAAACCAGCCTTAATATCTTTGGACAATTTCACACAGCTCTATCTAGCCCCAAAGTAAGCAATTAATACGCTTATGTTATGGGTGCTAGCTTAACGGATATACTACTTATATAATTTTTTAAATACATACATAGTAACACCCAGACCCGTCACAGAAATTTAAATTCATCATTTCAATTTCTCCCGGGACCTCTCGGCATATCTTTCGAACCCGGGACCTCTCGGCATATTAGTCCGTTCCGAACCACCACACCAAACGGCCGACAATAACATAATAACAGGCCGACAGTAACATAATCAGTAACAATTATTGTTATCAGTAACATAAAAAGCAACTTTACGAGATCATCAGAAATGAGGAGCGAAAGCCGTAATTGAACAAAAGTCACTGACATAGCCCGACGGATTAGCAAGCTGAAGTGGCAATGGGCAGGGCACATAGTACGCAGAACTGACTGCCGATGGGGCAGTAAGGTTCTGGTCTGGAGTGGAGGCCACGTACAGGAAAGCGCAGCGTAGGACGTCTACCCAAAAGGCCGACGACTTCACAAAGATAGCACTAGATGCAGGCCGCTACCGGTTATTATGGAAATCGTTGGCCTGGCCTCTGTACAGCAGTGGACGTCATCATCATCATCATCATCATTTCACCCATAGGATGTCCACTGCTGAACACAACATAGGCCTCCCCCAACGTCGTATGACGACATCCTATGGCTGAAATGATGATGAATTGAAAAGCTTACTTTACAAGCTCCATTCAGAAACTGCGCATTATGTGATAGAAGCAATTGTAGGAGGTCCAGAAGTTCTTCTTTCGGTTGAGGAGAAAGCTAATAAAGCTATACGCTATTACTTAACAATAGCACCCTCACTTCCCAACAGTGGTGAGCTTCCAGGCCGGCAACGCGTCGTCCAACAGTCGCACTGCGCCGTGCGCGTACTCAGCGGCGGCGCGAAGGCGCGCGCCAACCCCGGCTAGCGCGTCGCGCAATGCACGCGCGCGCAGCAACGCGCCCTCTAGAGACGCGCTGGGGCGATTACTCTCGCTCCAGATGCTTTCTGTTATAAAGCAAGAGTAAATTTGTCTATTTAACCACGATCAAAAATTTATTACGTACCTACTTGGGCACACAACAAGAAGCGAGAGAATAGATTTCTTCAAAAAGTATTGTTACATAGCACAAGAATAACGCTACGAATGTTAATGACCCCGTAGTCCGTAGTATGATTGCTACGGCCATAGCTACGGCTGGCTACGGCTACGAGTTAGGAGTCGTAGAATTCGTAGCGTCGTAGCAGAATAAGGAGTAGCTCCGTAGTAAAATAAATTAACTAAGTTAACCCTCTTTATAAAATTGCAATAAAATCCTGTGTACTTTTACAGCTTTTACATTTAGATTGAAGAGTGATTACCTAGTGATTACGATGAATTAATGTGATTAATCCTTCTTCAAAACATCCAAAAACGTGACTAATTAGCTGTTTATGTAATGCAAAGCCTCATACGTAACTTACCCAGCAAGTGTTGCAATTGCGCATACAGCGATCTCGTGCGCAGGATCTGCGCGTGCAACGCGCGCCGCTCGCGCTGGAGCTCAGCGTGCCGCGTGCGGAGCCAGCTTAGCTCTAGACGGCGCATTTCCTGTTAAATACGAAGGTTTCACTTAATGATATGCTTTATATCTATTAGTTTAATGCTCATAATTAATATTCTTACCTTTCTGTTGATGTTAGCAATAAAATCTTCATTTTCCGAAGCTAATAACGGCCTTCTGTAGACATCTAGACTTACAAAAACCTGAAAAGTACAATAAATCCATAATCATTTGAAAATTATGAATAACTTGAAAAAATCATGCTTTTAAAGTAAAACCATACGTTATTTTGTAAATTAATTTTCATACCTGGTGAAGTGTTTTCGCGTAAGTTTCTTTATTTATCGCTGTATTTGTGTTTTCTTCGAATGCCTTTATTTCCTGTAAAAAAAAACAATAGGTACTTAGTTATGTTATATCAAGTCTTCATTCTCCACCGTCCAGCACATTATACGTCGTTACGTTTTGGTAATTGGCAATACCTTAAGGCCCTCGCCCACGGCGACTTTTTGTCGCGAGTTTCGTAAACAAGCGACAGCATCGCTACTAACACGCGTTAGTCGCATTTACAACGCACTGCAGAAGTGATGTCAACGCGCCACTAACGCGCTACAGCAGCGCGACTGCATCGCTACAAAAAGTCGCCGTGGGCGAGGGCCCTAAGAGCGCTTTTTTCGCTCTTAGATTATCTCCTCTATCATACATGACATAAATACCTGCTGTATGCTCTCCATCTCAGCAGAGACGACCGCCAGCCGGGCTGCAGGGAAAGCCTTCTCGCTGCTGGCGATCTCGTTGTCCAGCCTCACGAGCGCGGCCACGATCGTCTCTCCCTTCACCGAGGATCCGGGCCACGTTGACTGCTGGGGCAATTGGACATTGGAGTGTTAAAAAATCATTCGCTTGCCCATTTATGTTTTAAAGCAATAGATTTGGCTACTTTGTCAGGTCGGGGCCTTAGTACCGTAGACAGATACTCGCACAGCTTAGTATTGGTACATTCTTATGGGCTGTGACGACGATGATGAAACAAATTAAACGTTTTTGTTGGCAAAGGTAACTTTGTTCAATCGTAGTGACAAACAACGCTGCCCAAATATTAAATATTATAAGTTGCTTAGTTAGATGTATAAACATGAAATCATTTCAATGTTATTATTTTTGTCATGTCGATTTGGTTCAGACTTTTATTTGAGACTTTGCCAAATTATTTGAACATCTCGGATACAAATACATCGCCACTTATAGTAAGCAAAGAATTGGCACGTATTTTGAAACGATGTATGAAATCTATTCGACTTAAGAAATTAATTCAAGCCTGTGATAAATCCAAAAATTAAACTTAACCAAATTATAATTCAAATTAACTTATAGGTACAACTTTGAATTTCACAAGAATCTTTAAGTGATGAGTTAATCAAGACTCACGGTGGAAGTAGTCGACACTGCAATCTTGTGTGAACTCGCCATGCAGCCCATGCCATCACAAGAGTATTTTTTAAATAATAAGTTTCAAAATTGATCAAGAGGAATTTAAAAATAATATGCTTCACAATTTCTTTTATCACTAATCAACTCTACGTCATCTCCGCTCAACACACCATGCCCAACCGCCCTGACTACTAAGCGTCAGCTGGTTCAGCGTAACTAAATACGTTACTCAAATAAAAGAAATGTGCCGAGGTCACCGCTAATAGTTCGGCAAATATTTCATGTTCACACCTGAATGGTTTCGTTTAGAAGACAATAGGCGCAAGCGCTGGGCGGCACCGCGTTGATTTTTTGAACGTGGATGTACGAAACAACGATTTTACCTATTTCACGATACACCCCTGCTTATGAGAATCGTTGAAGTATGGTGGTACAGAGATGGGTACGATATCCTATTAGACGTCATTACTCGTACTAAGTACTTAGGTATAGGCACATTTATTTTACGTAAGTACAGTAATAATTCATCATCATCATCATCATCATTTCAGCCATAGGACGTCCACTGCTGAACATAGCCTCCCCTAATGCTTTCCACGTTGATCGATTGGTAGCGGCCTGCATCATAATAGGTAATTATGCAAGTTAATATCCACCCTTGAACACTCAATTGCTTGTAATGTAATTTAAATTACCTACTGTTTTTAAAACATCAATTTACCAAATAATAAATCAGTTTGGTCACTAACTTTACAATAAAATACGGTTCTATTTAATTTGCCATATCCTTAACAAGGTCTACGTAGAAGGCGGCAATGTGTCATTAATTTATAATCACCCACGATCACGACACGTCATCAACAAAGTGGTTTTCAGCACGATTTCCACAGTCAGTTATGTTGCTGTATATTACTTTTCCATTTAAAATTGCAACTCATGCAAGCGTTTAATCAACGGATACCTATTTTCTTGCGTACTTATACCACGATATGGTATTGGTTTTGCTTTCTATGTTAATTTCTAGCTAGTAGGTAGGTACTTACATACCTACATCGTTAGTCATGATTTACCTAACTAATTTATCAGGCCTGCGAATATGGTCCGACGGCAACAACATAGCTAGCGGACTCCTTTAATATTTAAGTTCGCATAAGTGCAGGCCTGGAACATGAATGAGTTGTGCGTGGTTTATCGAGAATCACGCATATCGATCATAACGCTAATACTACTTAGGTACCTCTATCAATTTGGCATTGAAGATTACTCCCAGCAGATTATAAACGACCGCTAATATTTATGAAGATTTGGCCGATGCCCGATACCAAATAAGCGTAGGTGTTGGTTATTGTGTTAACAGCGTTATCATCATCCTCATCGTTTCAGCCATAGGACGTCCATTACTGAACATAAGTAGACCTCCCACAATGATGAAGTGACCGGTTGGTGGCGACCTGTATCGCGGCGCCTTCCTGCTACCTGCGGTCGTCGGTCCATCTTGTGGACATCCTACGCTGCACATTCCGGCTATCACCTGACAAAAAGTCTATACCTAGCATTGAAGTAATATTATAACTCAATGATACCTAGTCAAATGCCTAGTCTTATGAAGACCGACAAGCACTCACTCTCCTCTTTAAAATGAATGACCATGACCATAAAGTTGATAGTAGTGGTTTTTATGATTATGATTGTAATTTTAGTAGTTGTTTTAGTATGTAGTATGTTGTGTGCGTATTAATAATATTATTTTCATTATTCATCAGTGCGCATATTTTTATTGTAAAGAAGAAGAAGAAGATTGATTTTTTTAGTCCATTTCAGTGTCTATTTGCGCGTCTACTTTGCGACTTGCGAGGCCACAAGTTAATAGATAGATACATAATAGAGCAGAAGCCAGAAGTTTTTAAAAGAATGCTCCTGTAGTAAAAATATGTTTAGACAGAAACACGCCTTGACATCACGAGATACTTTATAGTGTCGTCGATTGTCTTAACTAAAGACTTAATTTACAAATCGATTTGAAAATCGATGAGGAACGGTTAAAAACCATTAAATTTACGTAAAATAACTATAAGTTTTATTCAATAATGTTTGACATTGATAAGATTGATTCAATTTTTAGTTTTATTTAGTTTTAGTTTTTTTTTAACTCTATGGTAGTTTTTATGGTACATTGACATGTAAAAGTACCTAAAACACTGTCAACGTCGACTTCTTCCCGTCCCACCTCTCCTTCCCCTTCAAACTGATTCCGAATCATCTTGACACATCGTTATTTCTTACAATTTTATAATTTGTTAAATTATTTTAGTTTATTTTTTGTTCATTTCTACTTATTTATAAACTGATAGGCTAAAGAAAAAGACCGAGCTAGCGGTAAGTAGTCCACATTTTCCCTAAAATTCTAAATCACATGTCGCTACTGTTCCTATCAACATAATGATAACGAAACTCCTATTTCTGGTTACAGAGCTTAAGGTCTTCAGCTCTAAGGCCTCAGGCCTCGGCCTGTGGTCGCCGCAACTCATCAACACCTGAAACAGCGGAATTATCCCGAATTTTTCACACCAAGCATTACACCACATTTGCAACTAAAATGTCACAGTGGAACAATTCTTACGTGTACAACAACCAATACCAAGGTGAAAATACCTGGAACGGAGATCTGAATACTCAATATGCAAATCAAGGTTACTATCCCAATCCTAATCAACAATATGACTCCGCCAACCAACAGTATGTGAGCTTCAATGAGTTTATAAATCAAATGCAAGGCAATGGGGCGCCTCAACCTAGTGCTAATAACTACAATAGTTCACAGTATCAGAATTATGGTCAATATGATTATCAAAATATGCCATCTACCTCCCAAAATTCACAAGTAGACAGTTATTATGCAGGTAACTCTTCAAATAGCCAGAATGGTGCAGAATCATACAATCAAAGTCAGTATGAGCAACAGCCACAAGAACAAGCTTCTTATTCAAATGAGTTAATACTCAAATCAAACTTAACTCCAACTGCTTCTGAATTTGTGCCAAAAAGTACTAAAGCAAAGCCTTCAAGAAGTGTTCAAAATGTCCCTGAAACGACCAACTCTAATAGTAGTAATAATGGTGCTACTGAGTATAAAAAGAGTCATGGAAGCTCTTCTGACACCAACTGGAGAGAGAGACCACAGTCATCTCAACAGAATGGTGAAACTAAACATAACAGTCGCTATCAAGACAACTATAGACATCAGGAGAATAGCAACAGAAACCGGGATCGCGACCGTGACAGGAACCGTTACCAAGACTCAAATAGTCACAACTATGAGTCAAACAATAGACCTGATAGGAATCAATCAAAGTCCAATGGTAAATCTAAAAAACAAGATGCTGATGGTCTTACTTTTTATAATAGTTCTATAAATAAGAGAGGGCAGGACCATCGTAATGGAAAAGGGGAAGGTTCCGGCAGGAACCGGAACTGGGCAGGAAGTCAAAGACTCCGAGCTGAAAGAAATTACACAGAGGATGAGCAGTATGCAAACAGTTATTTGCAATACAAAGAGGAGAAAGCAGAGAGGTTGGCAAAACAAGACAATCCCAGTCCTAAATTCAGAAACAAACAAACTGCAGAGACAGGTAAGTTATTTTATTATTTATTTCCTTTAGATATACATAGAAACAGATCTGTAAATGTAATAAATTAGATTTTAGTGATTTTCTAGCAAGAGATTTCATACCTAACAGAAAAGGAAAAAAGTCAAAGGATCCTTTATTTACTAAAAGAGCCACATAATTACATGAATAATAGTTTTTAAGACTTACATCTGGAAACTTAACTTACAAATTGTCCAAAAGAGAACACTAACAAATCACCATCTATTTAACTAAACATTAGTTATTTTTTTATCTGCAGCACACACAGAAATGACCCAGCGGGAGAGACTGAGCGAGCAGTTGGACAAGGGCACTCTGGAGTGCCTGGTGTGCTGCGAGCGCGTCAAGCAGATCGACCCCGTGTGGTCCTGCGGCAATTGCTACCACGTACTCCATCTGCGGTGCATCCGGAAGTGGGCCATGAGCAGTGTTGTTGGTATGAGCAGTTTCAATTTTCTTTAGTCTATCTATAATGTATTAAATATACAATTTGGTACACCTAACTATTTATATCATTAGCCAGTTCATCAGTTTAACCAGTTAGTGAATTAAGTATATCATTGGATTAATTAATAGCCAATTTTTCATATCATCAGAAACCTAACATTTGTTGGTTGAATAAGTTTAACAAATTATCAATTTTTGTATACAAAACTTTTCTAGTGAAAAGTTTTTCCTGTCGGTAGAATTAGTCATATTAAGGAGGAAAAAGCTTATAAACTTACCTAATAAAGTAAATGTTACACAATGCTATGTTAATGTCATAATACATTTTTGCATATTTTTCCTTTTAATATGTTTTTCCTTCAATCAGAGAATACACATAAATTACTACACAAAACTGACAAAAGAAATACAAAATCGAAACAGCACCATTTACCTACAATTAAAAAAACATTAAACATTCCAATACATCACTATTCTAGAGGGCAAATGGCGTTGCCCCGCCTGCCAGAATACAAGCGAAGAGATCCCCACCGAATACCGCTGCATGTGTGGCGCGACTCGCGCTCCTGAGTACCAACGCGGTGGCAGCGGCGCTCACACTTGTGGCAAGGCCTGCAAGCGGCCTAGAGCCTGCCCGCATCCGTGTACCTTGCTGTGTCATCCCGGGCCTTGTCCGCCTTGTCAAGCCACCGTCAGCAAGTGAGTAGCACCAATATAGCATAGCATATCTAGACTCTAGAGTACCAGCGCGGCGGCAGCGGCGCTCATACTTGTGGCAAGGCTTGCAAGCGGCCTAGAGCCTGCCCGCATCCCTGTATCTTGCTGTGTCATCCCGGGCCTTGTCCGCCCTGCCAGGCTACCGTCAGCAAGTAAGTACATAGTACACACCAACATGTAGTTAGTTAGTTAGTTTAGTGGCTAAATATCAGTGGTCTAAAGTACCAGCGCGGTCGCAGCGGCGCGCACACCGTGGCAAGGCTTGCAAGCGGCCTAGAGCCTGCCCGCATCCGTGTACCTTGCTGTGTCATCCCGGGCCTTGCCCGCCCTGCCAAGCCACTGTCGGCAAGTAAGTACATAGTACACACCAACATGTCGTTAGTTAGTTAGTTTAGTGGCTATATCAGTGGTCTAAAGTACCAGCGCGGTGGCAGCGGCGCTCACACTTGTGGCAAGTCCTGCAAGCGGCCTAGAGCCTGCCCGCATCCGTGTACCTTGCTGTGTCATCCCGGGCCTTGCCCGCCCTGTCAAGCCACCGTCAGCAAGTGAGTAGCACCAATGTAGCATAGCATATCTAGACTCTAGAGTACCAACGCGGGAGCAGCGGCGCGCACACCGTGGCAAGGCTTGCAAGCGGCCTAGAGCCTGCCCGCATCCGTGTACCTTGCTGTGTCATCCCGGGCCGTGTCCGCCCTGTCAGGCCACTGTCAGCAAGTGAGTACATAGTATACACCAATGTGAAGTTAGTTAGTTAGTTTAGTGGCTATATCAGTGGTCTAAAGTACCAACGCGGGGGCAGCGGCGCTCACACTTGCGGGAAGTCCTGCAAGCGGCCTAGAGCCTGCCCGCATCCCTGTACCTTGCTGTGTCATCCCGGGCCGTGTCCGCCCTGTCAGGCCACCGTCAGCAAGTAAGTACATAGTACACACCAACATGTAGTTAGTTAGTTAGTTTAGTGGCTATATCAGTGGTCTAAAGTACCAGCGCGGTGGCAGCGGCACTCACACTTGTGGGAAGGCCTGCAAGCGGCCTAGAGCCTGCCCGCATCTGTGTACCTTGCTGTGTCATCCCGGGCCTTGCCCGCCCTGTCAAGCCACTGTCAGCAAGTGAGTACATTGTACACCAATGTGAAGTTTGTCGAGTCGTTATAGCGTTGGTCTAGCTAGAGTAAAAGCGCGGGGGCAGCGGCGCGCACACCGTGGCAAGGCTTGCAAGCGGCCTAGAGCCTGCCCGCATCCGTGTACCTTGCTGTGTCATCCCGGGCCTTGTCCGCCTTGTCAAGCCACCGTCAGCAAGTGAGTAGCACCAATGTAGCATAGCATATCTAGACTCTAGAGTACCAGCGCGGTGGCAGCGGCGCTCACACTTGTGGCAAGTCCTGCAAGCGGCCTAGAGCCTGCCCGCATCCGTGTACCTTGCTGTGTCATCCCGGGCCTTGTCCGCCTTGTCAAGCCACCGTCAGCAAGTAAGTACATAGTACACACCAACATGTAGTTAGTTTAGTGGCTATATCAGTGATCTAAAGTACCAGCGCGGTGGCAGCGGCGCTCACACTTGTGGCAAGGCCTGCAAGCGGCCTAGAGCCTGCCCGCATCCGTGTACCTTGCTGTGTCATCCCGGGCCTTGTCCGCCCTGTCAGGCTACCGTCAGCAAGTGAGTACATAGTATACACCAATGTGAAGTTTGTCGAGTCGTTATAGCGTTGGTCTAGCTAGAGTAAAAGCGCGGAGCAGCGGCGCGCACTTGTGAGAAACTTTGCAAGCGGCCTAGAGCCTGCCCGCATCCGTGTACCTTGCTGTGTCATCCCGGGCCTTGTCCGCCTTGTCAAGCCACCGTCAGCAAGTGAGTAGCACCAATATAGCATAGCATATCTAGACTCTAGAGTACCAGCGCGGGGGCAGCGGCGCTCACACTTGTGGCAAGGCCTGCAAGCGGCCTAGAGCCTGCCCGCATCCCTGTACCTTGCTGTGTCATCCCGGGCCGTGTCCGCCCTGTCAAGTCACCGTCAGCAAGTAAGTATTACCAACATGACGTTTGTTTGATTGCTATAGCTTTGGTCTAGCTAAACAGGCCACTGTCAGCAAGTGTGTAGCACCAATATAGCATAGCATATCTAGACTCTAGAGTACCAGCGCGGTGGCAGCGGCGCTCACACTTGTGGCAAGGCCTGCAAGCGGCCTAGAGCCTGCCCGCATCCGTGTACCTTGCTGTGTCATCCTGGGCCTTGTCCGCCCTGCCAGGCTACCGTCAGCAAGTGAGTACAGTACTTATTACAATCAGTGTCGAATAGTTGATAACACAACCTTATTCCAGTTGTAATAAAGACGTGTTACGATCTTTTTGGCTGCTTTAGGTGTCACGAACATTTCGACGCTGACTGTATCAACGTGAAGTTCGATGTGTTCATTTGCTAGCCGAACTGCTCCCTTTTGTTTGTAGACATCAAACATATAAGAAGCATTTGATATTTATTACCCACCCAACTTAAATCAAAATTAAAAATTGTGAAGTCACCTCGCATCATCATTGTGTTCATCACTAAAATTTTTACCTAATTTAAAATTACTACCAACAGAAAATGCGGCTGCGGTGCCGAAACACGCTCCGTTCTATGCAGCAGCAAGCTACCGCAAGTTTGCGGGCGAACTTGCCACAAGACGCTGACCTGCGGCGCGCACGCCTGTCAGGCGCCGTGCCACGAGGGCGCCTGCCAAGACTGCGAAGAGACTGTCACGCAAGGTAATAAGGCTCATTATAGAATGACAAGGTTTTTGAAAAGCAGTAATGTGTGTGGACACTGCATGAGAAATTGTTAGCTTATAATAGTGGCAGGCTTCCTGAAGTAATGCAAGTATGCGGGCGCACGTATCACAAGATGCTGAACTGCGGCGTGCACGCGAAAACCGTCACGCAAGTTAATAAAACTGGTTTTAGAATAACAACCTTTTTGAAAAGCAGTAATGTGTGTGAACTGTGCAGAAGAAACTGTTAGAGCGTTCACACATTACGCCGCAGCGGTAGCGGCAGTCGCCGCCGCTGTGAAAGGCCTCATACTAATCAAAACAAAACTAGTACAAATTCAAATTCAAAAACGTTTATTGCATGTCACATTACAATTTATATGTTGTTGCAAAATAGAGGTATACATGTGACGCCCTGCAAGGGCACAGCAAAACATCAATTTTATCGCTGGCGCTATAGCAGTGTGTAAACGTGTTTACACATTGGAATAAGAATTCATATTAAACTAATGATACAGCAAAAAAATTGGTGGTATATTGGTATTAAAAATATCTTGGTAAAATCACAGAATAATAATAAGTACTACGTACAGAAGTTTTACTTCGCGAAGGTATTTAAAAAAATGTATGCTCAATGTCATTAACAATATGGTGTAATTTAGCTTGTCTCAAGAGTCAAGCACCATTTTGTTGACAAACGTCAGTGATCGGCACTGCGCTGAAGCTATAGGGCTGACTTCGGTAAAATGATGTGACGTGAGGTGCCAAACTGCGGAAAATGGCGGAGGAAATACATGATTTAGCATGAATTATCATGAATAATATTATAGCCTGACCAGGAACATAAAAACCCTCGCCATGTTGCGGAAAACTAATGGTACTAATTTCTTTTAATGGCAACAGTAACTGAAAACTTCATTGTCATGTCACCTTGCATGTCAGTCTATTGTTGTCAAAGTGTAAACAAACTTTATTTTAAATGTGCGCAATTGATTTTGTGAATTAAATTGCTAAAATCTTTTTATAGTCGTGAAAGAAAAGTGGTTTACAATGTGTTAAAGTATTTGTCGAAGAGAAATACTAAGGGTTCGGACAATATTTTCATTGAATAATGTTTCCGACAAAGGTGGTCAAATTGACTGACATGTTTATCGCATAGTACAGTCCACTATGAAAATTAGCTGTGGTTTATTTCAACTACCTATTTTAAAATTTTTTGTCACTTTCTAAGTGTTGAATTTTATGGAATTGGGAAAGAAGTAACGAGTTTGAAGCGTTCATGAGCAAACATTGCAGTTGAATATTCAAGTTCTGAATTTGATTATTGATGAATAATAAAATAAGTCCTACTAGCTCGATTGATGGTTTCATTTAATTTATTTAAACCAGGTTACCTATAATAATATTTTTTCGTTAATTTATGAAAATATCAAATTAGCCCGTAATCCTGAATCCTGATACATAAAGTTAGCCTATTAATTTAACACAGGTACGACTGTACTCAGTGTTGCACTATCAAATGCAATTGACGCGCCTCTATGCCAGGGTTTTTATGTTCCTGGTCAGGCTATAACTACTTATTTACCTCTCAGTGTCTTGAGGCAACTTAAAAAAGTACATTCTGTGTTTTTATTATTATTTAGGCAGTTAATTACTGCACAGTATTTAGTACACCATTTTCTTTATTTTCTTCCATCATACACAAGAATACGCGTGCGTGAGTCAATGTTCGCTCGTATGTGAGGCCTTGTCGAATAGTATCCTGTAGGTGGGCCATTGTGCGTGTTTTGTTTTCGATGTAAACTCGCGAAGATGAACAGGCCTGGTAAAATCGATATCCTTGAGTAGGTACTTTAAAGTAAAAATCTATCACTTATCTATTTTCTTTTTAGTGTGCTACTGCCCCGCCGCAAAAAGCCGTTCGGTGCCGTGCACTCGCGAGACGGGCAGCCAGCAGCAGTGGTCGTGCGGCTCGGCGTGCGCGCGCGTGCTGGCGTGCGGCCGCCACGTGTGCACGCTGGCGTGCCACGCGCCGCCCTGCGCGCCCTGCCGCCTGCTGCCGCGCCTCGTGCTCACGTGTCCCTGCGGGAAGAACAAGTAAGACTTTTTAAATAGGTTATTAGTAATTACAGTCCGGTCGCCGAGCAGATAGAATTTTGTCCAATGACCCCAAGCTACCCATCCTTATCGCTCGCGCGTAATTATATTTCTGTTGCGACGGGCGGCCGTAGTGAGTGTGCGAGCGCGACAGCAATATAATTACGTCCCGTTAGCCCCTCGTACTAAGCTAAATATGCTTGTGTCACGAGTGAGCTCATCACAATAGTCAAGCGGCGGCGGGGACCGAACCCGCGTTCCCTGGATCACGAGTCGGCCAGTCATTTCAATCTCAAGGTTGAGACTCGACCAGTCTAGCCAGAGTCGAAAGTATATAGCAAATCCTCCATTTTCATTGATAAATATGAGGGACCTCCTCGCTGATCGTCCCTGTGGGAAAAAGTAAGTAGCCATAAGTTTAATCTTATTTAGATTGAAATCTTACTCCCCAAACTGACTGGCTAGCATGGAAAGTGTAGACCAAATCCTCCATTTGCCTCTGGTAATAATATGTCGCGTGCCACGCGCCGCCCTGCGCGCCCTGCCGCCTGCTGCCGCGCCTGGTGCTCACGTGTCCGTGCGGGAAGAACAAGTAAGATTTTTTAAATAGGTTATTAGTAATTACAGTCCGGTCGCCGAGCAGATAGAATTTTGTCCAATGACCCCAAGCTACCAATCCTTATCGCTCGCGCGTAATTATATTGCTGTCGCGACTGTGTGACGGGCGGCCGCAGTGAGTGTGCGAGCGCGACAGCAATATAATAACGTCCCGTTAGCCCCTCGTACTAAGCTAAATATGCTTGTGTCACGAGTGAGCTCACCACAATAGTCAAGCGGCGGCGGGGACCGAACCCGCGCTCCACGGATCACGAGTCGGTCAGTCGTTTCAATCTCAAGGTTGAGACTCGACCGGTCTGGCCAGCGTCGGGAAATATAGATCAAATCCTCCATTTTCCCTCTATAAATGTGAGGGACCTCTTCGCTGGTCGTCACGTGTCCCTGCCGGAAGATAGGGACAACCCACCACCACCCATGGCCATGCCAACCTTGCGGTTATAACTGGCCGAATCGCGGGAGATGCGCGCGTCTATGACACATACATATTACGAAGTTCTTCTATCTAAGCCCAACTAAACATTTCCCTCTCTTTCCATCTGTACAGGTTAGACAAAGACTCGCGCAAGTCGTGCACGGACCCAATCCCGCTGTGCGGCGGCATCTGCGCCAAGCCGCTGCCGTGTGGACCCGCTGGAGATAAGCACTTCTGCAAGCTGGACTGCCATGAAGGTAAGCTTATAAAGCGCATGTTTGTTGCAAAATCGCTCTTATTACAACGGTGTTAAGGTGCTACATGTTTAGCTTATTCTATAGTTGTTGCAATTCACGAAGGCGAGTACGCTTTACATGTGTGGTTTTTCAAAAGTTTTGATAGACGTTATGTGACATTACACTATCATTATGTGCATGTACAGTCAGCGTCAAATAGTTCGTGACACCCAAAGTGGCCAAAAAGTTGACAACACAACCTTATTGCAACAAGACATCCATTGTCTAAAGTGAAAAAGGGTGTGTTTGTTTACATAAAATATACATAACTTATTATTCCAAGGTGTTCTTATAACGTGACCAGCCGGGCTAGGATGCGCATCGCGATACAATCTTATCGATAATTTTAGACGTTAAAATGTAACGGCTTATCGCGTAAAATTGATAAAATGGCGCAATTAAAGCTTATCGCGGCGCGCATACTAGGCCTAGAGGTGGAACTTGATATCAGAAACCTCTATTATCATACATGCCATTAGGTTCTATTCACACTTCTTTTAGAAACGGCCTGTTCAAAGCCTTATTATTTCCCCCAGGCGAATGTCCCGTGTGCCCCGACAAGACGTTAGTCCAATGTCGCTGTGGGCACTCCAGCCGCGAGGTGCCTTGCGCGGAACTCCCGCAGATGATCAACAACGTGCTGTGCCAGAAGAAGTGTAATAAGGTCAGTGGGAAGTGCAATTTCCCCTATTGTTGTCAGAACTTACTACTACTTATATGAAAAGGAAATGTTATCCGGCCGAAGCATTTGACTTCCGCGACACCATAGGCAACTGCCCACTTACAAGATGAGCCAACGTTAAACCATTCCCGTCGAAAGGAGGTGGTAAGGGTGCCCTCACACCCCCAGCCTGCTACTACTAGGGCAAGAGAACGACACTCGTACCTTTTCTTCTTTCTCCGCCTGCTCTGTAACGAGGGGATCATCATCCAGCTCGCGCTCCAAAGTCTCCTTCTATAAGAAGACTTTCTCGCAAAAAGAACGCCTCCTTTCACTTCCCAGTATAGCGTTAAATTGACTCGAAAGCGAAAGGTTCGGGCCCACTACCGCAGTTTAGGACACAGCGCTGTTCCTCCCAGCCTGTTGAGGCCACGAGAATGTGCTAAAGTACGGCCAACGAGAAGCCATACCAAATGTAAACAAACCCAATGTCATTGTCATTTGGAATAGTATGGGTGGGTTGCACCACATATCTTTAACGGTAACTGACAATAACCGGTGCTTTTTGTATGGAATTTGACAGATTTTTGACGTTTGTCAAAGTTAAAGTAAGATGGTGCAACCCAGCCTAAGGGTTTGACTTTGACATATTTTGGCGGGAGAACGAGACATAACGACAAATACGACAAATATAAAGAGAATAGATTGTCAATTCGAAAGTCAATCGACCTTTTGTATCGCTTCTCGTTGGCCGTACTTTACATTTTATTTAGTAATGAAACTGGATTCACGTACACAAGAATTTGTCTTTTATTCCTCTGTATTAAAGTCCAAGTTCCCCCAACAGAAGCTGTCGTGCGGCCGGCACCGCTGCCGCACCGTGTGTTGCGCGGCGTCGTCGCACCGCTGCGCCGTGGTGTGCGCGCGCACGCTGTCGTGCCAGCTGCACCGCTGCGAGGAGTTCTGCCACACCGGACACTGTGCGCCGTGCCCGCGCGTCAGTGAGTGCCTTTGAAGTGTTTTGTCAAGAAAAATTATATGTAAACTGCATGTTGTGTCCTTACCGTGAATGCCTTAGCTTTAGTTTTAATTTAATTTAACAAGTAAAGCACTTTCAATTGATACCAAACACGGCATATTTATCTTAACTTTATTTTTTTACTCTATTTGTTTTGTCCGCTAGAGGGCGCCACATTCGATTTTGTGAAACTCCATATAGCCTATAACCAGCGGACAATTAAGACGCTTCTAATGATATGTCATTTGTCGAATTCTGATAAGTAGTTTAGAAGTTACGAGGGAACAGATGAACATACATACATACATAGCCTGTCAAAATCATAACCCTCCTTTTGCTTTGCCGTAGTCGGGTAAAAATAATCACGTGACTGTCGCGGTTGCCGCGTCAAAAAACTAAACATTACGCGCAAAGCTCACGCGTTAGTGGAGTGCCTTTGATTTGTTTCGATTTAAAAAGTAAAGAAACAAATGACCATCGCCCTTGCCGCCTCATGACGCGCGCGCACGCTGTCGTGCCAGCTGCACTGCTACGTGGAATTCTGTCACACCGGCCATTGTGCGCCGTGCCCGCGCGTCAGTGAGTAACTCTGAAGTGTATCGTAACTAAGTTTTAATTTAAAAAGAGTTACGGCAGTCACCGATATTTCACCATAACATTAGACACTACGCGCCATAGCCGTGCATCAGTGAATGCCTTTGCCTTCTTTTCTTCTTTGTCACTAAAGCCTGGTCCGTGAGCACGTGAGAATTTTTTCCAATAACCCCAAGCTACCCATCCTTATCGTTCGCGCGTAATTATATTGCTGTTGCGACTGTGCGACGGGCGGCCGCAGTGAGTGTGCTCACGGACCAGGCTTTACACTCTTGCTTGACAGAGTGATCTTGGTCAACTTACCTGGTTTGGTAGCAGGCTTTACAACCCGTCACCATTCCTCCCACATTGCAGCGTTTCTTGGGCACGTGAAGTGTACCATTGAGTGCGATTTTGACCTGATTGGTCCAATGTATGGGCCTGCAGCGCGCTCTTATGCCTTCAACCTTCCGTTGCACGACACGTCGTTTAACATAATATCTGTCGTTTCCACGTGTAATAAGGCCAAAATTAAATGGCCTTTGCCTAGCTTTGTTTTAATTTTAAAAATTAAAAAACTGCCCGTCTCCCAATCATTCACACTGGCCACTGCGTGCCATGTCCGTCAATAAAAAAAAATTACACGCGGCCCGCGTCGCTGTAGCAACAACGTATCGTCGTTTACTGCACGCCTGATTTGCGTGTCAGTTAACGCCTTTGCTTTCTTATTAAAAAGTAAAAAAGCCATGTGACCGGTCGCCTTTCCTCAACCAATACCGACCAAATTCTCAGGTTTCGAGGAGCTCCGCTGCACCTGCGGCGCGCAAGTCTTACTCCCACCAGTACGCTGTGGCGCGCGGCCACCAGCCTGCGACGCGCCGTGCCGCCGCCGCCGCGCCTGCCTGCACCCGCCGCACCACTCGTGCCACACCGGCGACTGCCCGCCCTGCGTCGTGCTCACCACCAAGCGCTGCCACGGCCAGCACGAGGTGACTGGTCGTCAGTACACCAGGTCACTAGGCTTCGAGGAGCTCCTGCGACGCGCCTGCCTGCACCCGCCGCACCACTCGTGCCACACCGGCGACTGCCCGCCCTGCGTCGTGCTCACCACCAAGCGCTGCCACGGCCAGCACGAGGTGACTGGTCGTCAGTACACCAGGTCACTAGGCTTCGAGGAGCTCCTGCGACGCGCCTGCCTGCACCCGCCGCACCACTCGTGCCACACCGGCGACTGCCCGCCCTGCGTCGTGCTCACCACCAAGCGCTGCCACGGCCAGCACGAGGTGACTGGTCGTCAGTACACCAGGTCACTAGGCTTCGAGGAGCTCCTGCGACGCGCCTGCCTGCACCCGCCGCACCACTCGTGCCACACCGGCGACTGCCCGCCCTGCGTCGTGCTCACCACCAAGCGCTGCCACGGCCAGCACGAGGTGACTGGTCGTCAGTACACCAGGTCACTAGGCTTCGAGGAGCTCCTGCGACGCGCCTGCCTGCACCCGCCGCACCACTCGTGCCACACCGGCGACTGCCCGCCCTGCGTCGTGCTCACCACCAAGCGCTGCCACGGCCAGCACGAGGTGACTGGTCGTCAGTACACCAGGTCACTAGGCTTCGAGGAGCTCCTGCGACGCGCCTGCCTGCACCCGCCGCACCACTCGTGCCACACCGGCGACTGCCCGCCCTGCGTCGTGCTCACCACCAAGCGCTGCCACGGCCAGCACGAGGTGACTCGTCGTCCGTACACCAGGTCACTAGGCTTCGAAGAGCTCCGTATATACAGTGGTGCGCAAATCCTGTTCGCTCGTACCACTCCTGCTACGGGCAACACGAGGTAACTCATCATCAATACATCAGGTCATTAGGCGCCAGTGCGCTGCGGCGCGCGGCCGGGAGGAGTCGTACTGACCACCAAGCGCTGCCACGGGCAGCACAAGGTAACGCCCCCACAGCCTACCAGTAGCTTTACGGAGATATTAAACCACGCCCTTAAAACGCCCCGTCTCTTTGAAATAAAATTTTATCTTTATAAAGTACCGATTGTTATCAATTTGCACTCTCTAGTTGACGGAAACTAGAAAGCGCCGAAACTGTAGTCTTTCTACTTTCTGTACGCTTACACTGTGGCACTCACAAGGTGGCGCCACTGTAAAGTTCTATCCACTAGGGGCGCCAACTAGTATGCGTTAATGTACCCTGCGCAAATGTAACCCTCATTGACTGTTATTAAAATGTAAAATATATTTCGGCAGGAGCGAAAAACGATACCATGCTCGCAAGATGAGTTCTCGTGTGGGCTGCCGTGCGGCAAGCCGCTACCTTGCGGGAAGCACACCTGCATCAAGACCTGCCACAAGGGAGAATGCGACACTAGCAAGTGAGTAGTAACATACGACTATACGTTTCGTTAGTTCGTTACTGTGTAAAATTATTTGTTGATGAAAATAACGATGACTAAGGGTGGATTCGACCAAACAAAAGTAAATATTAATCTCAGAATAAATCGGCAGTTATTCGAAATTTTGACATTTTAAATTTTGATTTTAAATCGGCAGTTATTCGAAATTTTGACATATTTCCCATCCTGAAACTGTCAATGTGCCAGTTATACCAGTAGTTATTCTTGGATAAAAGTTTGATCGAATCGGGCCTAAGCGTTCGAAACTCTAATATTACTTAATCTTAATTTGGGCTGAAATTCGAGTATTTAGGAAACAATAATTCTATGATAATATTCTGTTATGCTTCAACCATAAAAAAGCGTGCAGATCGCCATTGCCCGCGCGATCATAAGCCAATGACAGGTCGCGCATATGATCGCGCCGACGAGTGCGATCTGCACGCGTTGGTGTGGTTGAAGCTTTACTTAGCTTAGTCGAACGTCTTTAGGATTAATTAGTAGATCTTGTCATTGATACGTATTTATGTTTATTTATTTATTTATTTATTTATTTATTTTATGGNTTAAATCATTTCAATCTTCTGAGTTTTATTTTTATTTTCCACTCTCCCATATACGGATTGTATATGGACATTCTATCCTATTTTAGTTCCATTAATATTACTACTGTTAGGTGTTAATTAATATAAATCGATATCGATATTCATGTGAAAAGTAACGACATACATCACTAGCATGCACACATATTTATATTTACACACACAAATGACATCTCATTTTTGGTTTCGTTTGACAGCTCGTGATTGTTGCTCTATTCCGAAGGAATATTAACTTTATGGTCGGCATCGACCGTGACCTACGTGCTAGCCGACTGGCTCATGAACTCTCAACGTGCACCGTAGGCACTCTACATCGACGGCACATTGGACTGGACACATTGAATTGTGTAAATCTTGTATATAGCATATAGCAATAGCTTAACAGTAATAAACCAGATATCAACCGTCCGCGTTGTGTTTCATTTACCCCCACTGAGGCCAAGAAAGCCTTAGTGCAGCCCTCCTTCCTATCAAATCTTTATTATATCTAATTATAAGGTATTGTTAGGGCTCTAGGGACTACAAACGTAGCTAGAAATATAGCTTTGTTATGAGATAAGTTATGAGTGACCAAAACCTACTATCTATACCGTATGTAATCCTGTCTCACTCTATAATATTTTTATGTAGCCGCCTGAATAAACTTGAGTGAAAAAGTGTTTCCACTGTCTCAATTGCATAAAAAGCTTAAAAAAAATCATTTCATTCAGTTTCCATTTTGCCGAATAGGCGTGATTGACAATATATAACTGTCACCTAATACTTAGGCGGCCGAAAATCGGGCCCCTGTTTTAAAGTGCTCCCATAAGGCCTAAGGTGTCCCTTATGTGTTGGTGAAAACGAAATTCCTGTTAGGTATTACCTAATATTTCATAAAGGTCGCTTTAAAATTAGGGATTGATGGTGAAAACGGGCATTAGCCATTTTAAAGTTTTTCGTGAGTCTAATTACGAATCCAAGGGTTTTTGTGGCTTTAGAAGTTATTGAGTCAATATGCCTGTCAAGAAGAAGCTTAGGGTCCAGAATGACGCCAAGATCTCGTATATATTCGGTTCTCTGAAGCGCTTGCCCGTTTAATGTGTACTTGTAGAATATTGCATTTCGGGATCTAGTGAATGTGATTGTGATGGGCAGTAAATTATTTGATAGTGGGTCTTATTGTCAGAGCTTTAAGATCTAGAGTTTAGGCACGAGACTCGCCTAACTTTAGGTAGGAATTTAATTGCTAGTGCACTTAGGCTGGGAATCACTCAGCTAGCGTTAAGAAGGCTATTAAAGCAGCTTTAGAGAGAATTAATAAAAATACATAAAGCTAGAAGGGTCGCGGAGAGGGACCTTGCCTTTAGGCCTTAACTCTTCAAGATTACTATTTTATTAATTATTACACCATATACCATGAATGATATCGGCCTAAATCACATACATTATCTCCTATTTTAAAGTAAGTATAGTTGAAGCAATTGGAGGCCTAAGGTAGCTCGCCGCTAGAGGTCGGGAGGCTTGAGGTAGCTCGCCGCTAGCGCTTGAGACGTGGAGGTAGCTCGCCGCTAGCACTAGAGTAGTGGAGGTAGCTCGCCGCTAGCACTAGAGTAGTGGAGGTAGCTCGCCGCTAGCACTAGAGTAGTGGAGGTAGCTCGCCGCTAACACTAGAGTAGTGGAGGTAGCTCGCCGCTAACACTAGAGTAGTGGAGGTAGCTCGCCGCTAGCACTAGAGTAGTGGAGGTAGCTCGCCGCTAGCGCTAGAGTAGTGGAGGTAGCTCGCCGCTAGCGCTGGAGACGTGGAGGTAGCTCGCCGCTAGCACTAGAGTAGTGGAGGTAGCTCGCCGCTAGAGGTAGAGTAGTGGAGGTAGCTCGCCGCTAGAGGTAGAGTAGTGGAGGTAGCTTGCCGCTAGCGCTGGAGACGTGGAGATAGCTCGTCGCTAGCGCTGGAGACGTGGAGATAGCTCGTCGCTAGCGCTGAAGACGTGGAGGTAGCTCGCCGCTAGCGCTAGAGACTTAGAGGTAGCTCGCCGCTAGCGCGGGAGACGTGGAGGTAAAGCCTGGTCCGTGAGCACGTAGAATCCCGTCCAAAAATAAAAGACCCCAAGCTGCCCATCCTTGTCGCTCGCACGTAATTATGTTGCTGTCGCGCTCGCACAGTCACTGCGGGCGCGCGTCGCACAGTCGCGATAGCAATATAATTACGCGCGAGCGATAAGGATGGGTAGCTTGGGGTCATTGGACGGGATTCTACGTGCTCGCGGACCAGGCTTTAGAGGCCCATGGTAGCTCACCCGTCTCCTGGGAGGGCTGGCGGCGCGCGGGCGGCAGCAGGCGCACGTAGGTCTTGGAGGGGTCGCGGCGCAGGAAGCTCTTTGGCGAGGCGTCGCTGTACTTGGAGATGTCGAGGTACCGAGGTTGCACGCGGCGCGGTGGAGCTGAGGTCGTGGAGGATGACATTGAGAAGTCGCCGCTGTGCCTGCAAGAGAATAGAAAGAAAGAAAGAAAGAAAAACATTTATTTGGTTCCAACTTAAAATATAACACACAGAATCAGATGACAAAAACAAGTACAAGTTAGAACCAAAATTGGCCACCGCTCAGCACGTGTCATGCTCTGGAGTGGTAAATAAAACCCAGAACACGACGCTGTTATTCTGCGGTGACCAGAATAGTTGCTTTAGTGCATTAAGTTCTCCTTAATATCGGCGTCGTCAAACAACGTCGCATGTCTAATATCTGTAAAGATCTGTTTTTGGGCATTAAACTACTCTACAGTAGCTACTATAAAAAATTTTTTTTTCAAAATTCAAAAACATGTCAAACATCGATGGTTGTGTTTATTCTAACGCAGTACAGAGACGTGTTTGTGCATGATAACATTTTGCAGATACGTCCTTGTTCGACGACGACGACGTATGTACAAAACAAGGGAAGTGTCAGCGCTATCTACATCGGTACGCTTTACGTCACTAGTCAGTATCATAGGACGTCACGTCGGGCGCCTTCAAATTAGAGACGCGAGAGAGGTGAGGAACAGGGTTCGGAAGGATAATTATCAACGATAATTATCGTGATAATAACAGATAGATAATTATCGGTTGATAATAACAAAAAATGTGCTTGTGAAAATGAACTGTATCAGTACATTATAACTCAATGACTGTATCCGAAGTTTTTGAACGTGTATTTCCGCACTTGCGTCTAGTGGTGGACGTTAATCAACATAGATAGTTATAAAACCTATCTATTTAGCTCTACAATGATCACTAGTTATCTAGCGTCAAAATATTTATCTGTTTTCCAAGCTTTATGCGACTAGCGATGGATAACTTGACAACAATCAGCAACCAAAAAAATAAAGTAACATACGCAATCATAATTTCTTATGAAACAATATGGCAAATGTATCTGACTGTTGATAATTATCTGATAATTACTCGATAATTATTTGATAATTATCATGAAGCGTAATTATCTTGATAATTTCGAACCCTGGTGAGGAAGCACTTCAGTGGCGGCACTATGACGCACCACTGCTTGTTTTCATAATATTTCTAGAAGCACAAGTCGCGTTTTTCTGTGGCGCTACTGCAGCGCTTCCTTACGTCTATAATTTGGCGCTCTTAACAAAATAAGGGCAAGTAGTGTGCAATTGGTATAAAAATTCGAGAGCATCACTTCCAACCAGCCAATCTGAAATAGGTAATTGAGGAAAGCCTATTTTGAGTATACTAGACCAGTTGGACGTCCTGTGGCTGAAATGATGATGATGATGATGATGTATAGTTACCTCTGCTTAGGGTTGGCGTTGTCCCGCGCGTGGTTGCGGCGCGGCGCCGAGTCGGGCCCGCTCTCGCCCTCCGTGTCGCTCGTGCCTGGACAGACAGATAAAAACACCTTTTATTTTGTTTCTTCTTTAGTATTTAACTAAATGGGTACAGTTGTCCAACACTGAACCACGGTAACTGAACCGTCTCAGCTATTACAATGACAGGAGGGCGCTACTTGCTGTTAAGTTACAGGATGCTGGATTATTAGTTCAGATTATTGCCACGTTGAACAGCCATGGCGCTACTATCATTTATTTATTTATTTATTTTAGGAATTACAAACAAATGTGTTACAGAAATTAACTTATCGACTAGACTTATGTATTATTTATGTGGTAACACTATTAATGCTGGGTTACTAGTTCTGATTTTTGCCACTTGACATTTCAAAACCGCTTGACATTATAAAGCGCTCTTCTGTAAATGTCATATCTGGGACAATGTAGTACCTACACATAGTCAAATAGACATACTTTTTATCAAGCTTCAATCATAATAGTATAAGTGCATAAAATTGAGAATCACCTGTAGTACGCTTGGCTTTTTTTACTTGAGGGATAATTATA